GTAGCAGATGTTGACTGAAATAAAAAGGAAGCTTGGAAATATAATATCACTTTCAAAGATGCTTTGTGTTTGTACTACTGAGAGAGACAGTGAAAATAGGGCTATGCCCAGTCAAGTATTTTAAGTCTTGTTTTAACTTGTATGAATTGCATCATACTTCAAACAAAATCCCCAAAAAAATTTCATGAAATTGCTTTTTTTTCCTGTTTTCCAAATTCAGCGGAAAAGTACCCAATCGATCATATCTACAGTGGGTGGTGGATACGTTCCAAAACTAGAATTGTTCAAAATCAGCTAATAGTGTTGAGAGCCCAACATGTGCACTAACTCGAACTGACCCCATTGTGGACAATAAAACTGAATATCAGAAAATCATGAAATGCAATGTGTAGCATAATCAGAGGTCACACAGAGAGACGCTGATACAAATGTTTCTCTCCTAGTTTTTATATGTATGTGTCTTATCTTTTTCTTTCTCCCTTTCTCTCTTTCTCTCACTGTCAGTAACTAACTTTCTAGCTATATATATCTTTCTATCTGGAACTGCTAGTTTAGACATGCACGAGGGAAAATAATTTAGCTGATCATAATGTTCCTTGTGTGTAATTAAAGATGTTCTGCTCAAAATTTAATTGTGACTACTTCTGGAATCTCAGTTCAGTTGCAATTGAATGAACTTACAGTCATCCAACTTGCAGCAAATTTTCATACCAATGCCCCACAAACAGCCGTGAAGTGAATGACCCATTTTATTTGGGTATTGTTAGTCATAACACCAGGAGAAACTCCCTTTTTGAAAGGTGCTATGGCATGTTTTAACAGGCAGATAGACTTTGGTTAAGCTATCTCATCCAAAGGACGTCATCTCAAACAATGCAGCACGCCCACAGCACTAAAAGGGATGGGAACGTGTTTCAGGGCCAAAAATTGAGAGTAGAACTCTGGTGTTTTGCTCATGATGTGTTTTCCTCTACACTGGGGAGACAAAATGCAGATTGTGTGACTGATTTGCCGAACACCTCCGTTCTGTTCGCAAGCACAGCCCTGGGCTTCTGGTTTCTTGCCATTTCAACTCTCCCTCCCACTCCCACTCTGACACTACGCTGTTCCAGTGAGCCACAACGCAAGCTCGAGGAACAACATCTCATTTATCTGCTAGGGACCTTACAGCCCTCTGGCCTCAATATTGATTTCAACAATTTCAGACCATAACAGCTCACATTCCCCCTCTTCTGTGACCATTACCACATCATCTGGGTCCCAGACCCACCTTTTCTCTCTCTCTGGTCTGCCTATTTTGTTGCAATTCCCCCCCCCCCTCCTTTGTTTTGCATTATTAACACCTCTCTTCCCCTGTTTTGTTGCAAACCCAGCCTTTGTTTTGCATCATTAACACCTCTTTAACCCATCATCCCCTATTCTCTACCCCATTTTCTCCTTTATCTTCCTTGCCCTGCCTCCCCCCTCTCTGTTCGCCCTTAAAAACCGCTCCCTCGCAATATGCCCCAGATCTGACGAAGGGTCGTGGAGCCAAAATGTTGACTCATTTCCCTTTCTCCATAGATGCTGCCTGACCTGCTGAATGTTCCCAGCGACTTCTGTTTTTGTTTCAGATTTCCAGCATCTGCAGTATTTTGTGTTCTGTTTCCTGAATTAAGAGTGTTCTCCGATAGAGCCAGAGCAAGGAAATCCAAAAATGTTCAGCGCAGAACAGCTTACATGTATACAGCTTCTTTCATATGGGATGATTCTTTTGAAGCACACAAGTGCTTCCTAGTGTTTCACAAAAACTATGAGGATTACTATGCAGAAGGGAAAGTAGGTCAAAGAGATAGATTTTTAAGAAGATTTTGAAGGGCAAAGAGAAAAGGCACAAGGCAGAATTTTTTTTAGAGGCACAGAGAGATGACCAGAGGGAAAGGAGGAAGTAACCTAAAAAAGGTGAGTAAACAGGAGATCAAAAACTCAGTACTTTATCTGCATCCACACTTCCTCTCCTCTCAGGCCGCTGTTTGAAGTCACGTAGTTGGAAGCCTTGATTCTCTGAAGATGCAAGTGCCATCTGTTTAGTATAACAAGGCCCATTCTTTTATGTGAAAGGCATCATATAAACATTTGGAATACAATGTTATTATAAATGTATTCTACCTGGGATGGGCACACTCGGTAATGTTATAATCCAGATTTAATGGAAGTTAACTCTGAACACAGAATGATGCAAATAAAGCGGACAGATAACTGAGAACAAGTCTTACCATGTCATTGCTGAACAAACTCAGCAAAATAAATGATAATCCTTATAATCCTTACATTTGATAGAGATCCTTATTGCCACATTTGATATAGCATACACTGTAAAGCATAGGGCTGTATTTTTTTAGGCAAATAAAATATATTATTGATTTGAATGAAATGTCTACACTTACTACATTTTCCACAATAATCCATTTGAACCTATCAGAAATAACTTATTTGGAGTAATTTTAATTGTAGGTAAAATATTACCATAGAGTTTAAGGTAATACAATGAAGAGTAGCACATTTCCTTAAAAAAATGTACAGTATATATAAGTATATATAGTTGAAAATGTAACATTAGAATTTTTCTACAGAAAATGAGTGCTTTGGATGACATGCATTATACAAGCTTATTGATATGTCCACAGTGAATATCCGATGGGAAATATGGAGCAGAGCCAAGCAGGGAGTTTGATTTGCCTTTGGTAGTTTGGTAAAGAAGTCCATTGACAATGTGAATAATTGTGTACTGATCTTTTATGAACAAAGGCAGTGTTTTCCAATACTTTAAGCAAGGCATAGTTACACATTCTGAACCAATATGGCAATTAGAAATTCAAGGAACTTTTTAAAAATGACCTTCACAATAACAAACTCTTTTAATTAGTGGTGATATCGGATGAGGAGGGGGGAGATTGCACCGATTAAATATTTGTCGGATTCATACCAGTTATTGGCAGCTGTATTAGACAAGATATGTTTATTTGAATTTTGTCAGGTCTCCATTGTCTATTATAAGCGGAAATACATTGTACTGGCCTTAATAACACTAAATTGAAGGGAGTTAAATATGATTTTGTATGAAAGTCTAGAAATGTTGAGAGCTTCTTGCAGACACAAATAGAACCTTATACATGTTACCATATATCTTATAATATTTAATGGATGAGGGTCTTGGCAGCGTGAGGGAAGAGGTAGTGTGCATGCAGGTAAACTACTTCAGTCTCTTATAGATGCATCATTTTCTATTGATATGCAGTAGAATGTTGATGCAACAACAACAAATTTACATTACTAAGAATGTGTTTGTGGTGATTACCTTTGGATCACAGAATAGCACATTTCCATTTATAGCATGGTTTCACTGTGGTGACGAATACTGACTGGCTGACTTCCTGCATGGGGTGTGTTGTGACTGACATCCGTGGTGCTTCTTAGAAACCGCAGAAATTGAAGGCCCATTCGCCCCATCGTGCCTGTGCTGGCTCCCTCAAGAGCAATCCTTTCAGTCCTATTTACCTGTCCTTTCCCCATACCCCTATAGCTGATTCTCTTTAAGGTACTGTACGTGTCGTTTCCTCTTGAAGGCCAATATGATTTCTGCCTCAACCACAGCTCCCAGCAGGGCATTCCATTTCATAACTACACTGCATGAAAAAATTCTCCCAATGTCCCCATTTGCTTGTTTACTAGCTATCGTAAATTGAGGCCCTCTCGTTACTGACTCACTGATCAGTGGAAATAATTTCTCCCTCCCTTCCTGTGCTCATGTATGCAATAACTGACATCACCACAACTTGCATCATGGAAGCCCTGACCAGCAGCTGTTCTTATAATGTGCCCCATTATAACCTAAGGTCTGTATTTATAGATCCAAATGACGTTTAAACAACAACAAGATTTCATGTATAGAGCGCCTTTCACGTCGGGAGGAGTTACACATCATGATCCAGTGACCACTGCTAGAAGTGTACATGTAATGCTGCGTTTAGTTGTATACCCCTGTATACCCCTTTGACGTATCATTCAATACACATTTTTGTGTTTGTGGGATATTGCTGCGCACAAATGGTCCTTCACCCACAACAGTATACACTTTATGCACAATCATGACTCCTGTCAGGTCTAAGCACAACCATTTATCAAGAATCTGATGTGTGAAATTGAATCCTGCCCTCACACTTCAGGACTAAAATCACTCTCTCCACGCAATATCCTGTTGTTTCTCTGATTCCATCACAAAACAGGAATACTGTGGAGGCTGAATTATTCCAGCATTCATTGCAGGAGTGAATGGGAGTTAAACATTTTGAGCCTTTAGATGTTTGAATCATGAGTAGAAAAAGTTTTAATTGTTTCGTAAATTTCTTTCAGAGAACAGAATACATAGCCAAATTATTCAGTGGCATGATAATGATTGAACTATACTTAGCATAGCAGTTGTGCTACACTTACTGACTCGCTGTGAAGTTGTGAGAACAAACAAAGCAATTTCTAAGATGAACTATTTTTAAGATTCTTCTGCCTTGAATCAAAACTCTTTGTGTACATTTTTAAAATGCAGGCCATTCAGCTTATCAAATTGAATATGAGGAGAAAGCAGATTTTCCACCTCTGAATTTGTAAGATTCTCTTTTTAAAATATCTGCTTGAGGAGTTGAATTCAGCTGGAATATTGTAGTTTCAGTATTACCTGTTGAAGGACAATCTAGTTGCAGTCGATACAACAATTTAAATAATTCATTGACTTCTACATTGGGGAAAAATTCAGTTCACAACTAAATTGCTTTTTTGGAGTGAAAATTATTGTGTTAACGTTTCATGAAATTTTTAAAACAAAATAGATACTGTATTTCTGCTTTTAGTAAATGTTCACTTTAGATTTCTTTCTGCAGTTGTTTAATGATGCAAGAAGAACCAATCATTTATTTTTAATTGTATTTTGTATATTCATCTGTGCAATTCTTTGATCTCACTTTTAGGGTTCACCTTTGTTTGATGTTCTAAGGCAACAAAAAGAACAGGAAGAGCAACCAGAACAACCTGAACCTACCATTAATCTCAATCAACCACTCCAGCACAGCCACACTGCTGCAGACCTGTATGTATGAGTAAAATAGTAATATTAGGATAGTTCCTTTTTNCTCAGCTACAGACTGAATTGCTTTGAGATGTGAAAGACACGAAAAGTGATCCCATTAAGTGATTTTAGATCATGGTTTTCACATTATGGAGTCCTGTAGCATATTGGTTAGAGCACTCGCCTTGCAAGTGAGAGGACCTGGGTTCGATTCCCAGGCAGGGCGAAAACTTAGGCAAGTTTCCTTTCTCCACACGCCTCTGTTTACCTAGCAGTAAGAAGGACCATGGTTGGTAGTCGATTGGTGGATCGCTTTCTGGGTAAATAATCCCTTCAACAAAAAAAAGGTAATAGGTTGGTTACTTAAACCATGACTGTTTGTGGGACACTGCTGTGTTCAATAGGCTGCCACTTTTCACCCACAAAATATACACTTTACAGTATATTCTGTGGTGTTTTGAGACGTCTCAAAGACGTGATAAGGCACTATCAAATGCAAGTATTATTATTGACGTTTGTATTTTTTCAGTTCAGTCACCTGTAGCATCTTCTCCTTTTCCAGCTATCTTTCCCCTATCAGATCTCCTCGGAAAAGAGGGTCCAATAGTGTGCATGCAAATCCCGTACAAGGTGCAGAAATTGAGGCAGCATCTTCTGGTCAACTTCATCCGCTGGCTCAGGCACAGCTTCAAAAATCTCAGAAATCTACCTCACTCTCCCTTTTCTACAAAAAAGGCAAGTCATACATAACTATACTTCATAAGGGTCTGGTAATGAGAATTAAGCACAAGCGCATCTCATCCTGCATCTGTTCCGTTGGTCTTAATGAGTAAAATGTCATATAGCACAACGAGAGAAACATCGTAAGGTCTTTTATATCCCAAACATTTAAAAGTAGTTTAGTGAAAATGATATTATTTTACCTAAATAAGGTATTTGAATCATATCAGAGAAATACTAGGAGAATGAAGTAGAGGTAGCCATTAGCATCTCAACCACATTTCTTATTACATTACACATTGGTGCCCTAAGGAGAAATTATAAGCAGTTTGTTGAGCTCTTAAGTGCACAAACTAACAGGCAGTGGACTGTAAAACAACATTCACAAGGAGGACCACTGTGCTCACCCAGTCCAGCAGAGGAGCCTCACACCAACCTTGTTTGAATTTCAATTGAAACACAGCAATCATGGATGTGATGTGTTTCAGATCTGTGTCAAATGCCTTGTTTTAGTTCTTAGTTGGTTCAACTATTAGTGCCTGTACAATCTATGGCAAAAATCTAGTATTAAAGAGCAATTTGTTATACTTCGTGTTATGTTCTCCAGATAAAAAGTAACAGAATTAAAAAAGGAAGTTGATCGTGATTCTTTTTAATAATTGGAATTTTAAATATGTTTCTATTTATGACATTTTCTTTACTATCTTAATAATATGATCTAGTGCCAAAGATTAACTTGTACAAGTCTGATTGTGAGGGGTTAAAAGTGAGTGTTTAGGCAATATGAAAAGTTTTTTGTAACTGATTGGCTCACGCTTAAGAGTTACTCATTCAACAGTAATCTGAACTATTTATTACAGCCAGTAACTAAACTTTACAATTGATTTACTTTCAGGGCTGGGCTCCTTGCAAGTTTTACTTCCACCATCCATTTAAACATTATTCAGAAATAGCTTCCACTTTTATAATAGTAATAGTTGAATATATAGTGCCTTTCACATAAAATAAAATTATAGAGTTTCTCTCAGTTAACTAAATCACTTGCAGAGCTGCAATAGAAATTCTGAATGGCAATGGTTTAGACAAATTATCCATTGGAAAATATCCAAGAGAAAAATCCCCTTAAGACTTTACAATGTTGTAATGATCATATGTCACCAATGGCCTTTCTCAGGTCATAATCAGATACTGATAATGATTTACCGAATTAGGTGTTTTCAATCCAGCAGATCCGATTACTCAATTCTGAGTATTTGCATTCTGAGAAAGACTAGTTATGAAATGAGGCGCTGACTATCATTTTACATATGTCTGTAGATAGAAGAAATTGTCCTGGAGGACTGGCAAATATCACTTATTGTTCAATTATGTAGAATCTACAAAATAGATCATTTAGCTCAATTAAGCCGTGATGGTGTTTATACTCCACATGAACCTTCATTCATCCTAATTCTCCCCCCTCCCTTTAGCCTCCTCAAATCCCTCTTCCTTTCTCATGTGTGCAAAGGGGAAAAAATAAGAGCCTGGGAACTATAAGTTGGTGAGTCTTGGGAGGTGAATTACTTCAGGTCTGCTTGACTTCATAATAAGAAATGTTAAGTTAAAAAACAGCGGCCTTTCTAAGCATTCCTTGTGTCACTTCAGAAATATTTGAGAATAACCAGCAGATGAAGCTCCCCTAACAGATACATAGAATCTTCCAGCTTGTCCAATGTTATTTTTTTAAATAAATGAGGCATATTGATTATAGATAGGAAACAATACTCATGTATGGGGTAGAATTTGCCATCACTGCGCAAAACAGGCTGCCGCGTTTCGCCTATAATTGTACACTTTGAGTAAATCCTCCCGAGGTGAATGAAGCGCTTTGAGACCTAACCCTTCCAAAAAACAGAAAAATTAACACACGCCTAGAGGTAAGTAGGAACCCAGTTGTTAGCCAATTGGCAGATCACTTTCCGGGGGATAATAATCCCTCCAAATTTAAAAAAAATAATAATTTGGTCACTCAATACACGACTGTTTGTGGGACACTGCTGTGCGCAATTAGCTACTGCGTTTTGCTCACAAAACGCATAGTCGCTCCACTTGAGAGTATATTGTGCCACGTGATAAAGCGCTGTATCAAATGCCAGGATTATTATTAATATTATTAAACCAATCTTATGATTTTTTGGGGCTGAAAATACAAAAACTTGCATTTATATAGCGCCTCTCAAGCAGGGTAGCATCCTCGAGTGCTTGACAATGGGGGAGTACGACGCCGAGCTGGGGGGAGGGGAAAGTGACCGTAGACTGTAGTTGAAAAGGAAGCTCTTCAGATGCAACTTGAAGATGGGGCAGGAAGGGGCAAGTCGGAGGGATAGAGGAAGAGTGTTCCAGAATTTGGGGGCGTAGAAAGCCGGAGACAGTCAAGCGGAGGCAGCGGAAAGTGGGTTGGGCGGCAAGCAGGTCAGAGAGGTAGGGAGGTGCCAGGGCATAAAGGGATTTGAAATAGTAGATTTAATTTACCAGAAAAGTGGTTCTCCACCTACTGGTAGTCATTGAATATTCCTTAATTTACACAAAGAATACTTAAAATAATGTATTCAGCTGTTGGGGCTGATTACAGTACCCAGCACACTTTTTTCAAGGGAAAGTCAAGTCTTCTTTAATCAAATTATTGGATGAAATAACCAGGAGTGTGCAGTAGATGTTAGGTAAAGGAGATGCAGTAGATGTTATTTACTTGGACTTTAGGGGCTGTTTGATACTGCATAGAGACTTTTGGTCAAAATGAAGGCATAAAGAATTAGTTGTTTATTCTGGAACGATGAGATGAAATGGGTTGTACAGTGAGATTAAATGGTTAATCAAAGCCTCTCTGGTGATCCAGAAAAGTCAGTTGAATATTTAGGCAAATCCACTGATCAAGAATAACATTCAAAGAATATGAAAGACTTGGTAGGTAATCAAAAATTCTTAAGATGCAGAACATTTTCATTCAAATTCAACCCATAGTTTTGTTACAAATTTTCCAAGATTTAGGGTTTCCATTCCGTTCTTCTGGCACCTAAACACATGTCTAAAGGACTATTTGCATCTGTGTGGCGAAAATGTTTGTGACAGAAGATCGATTTTGTTGACTATTTGAAAATTGGAAGGTTCAAATGCACGACAACATTATTTTTTCTTAATCTGCATTGTTTGTACAGTTTATCGACTGGCATATCTTCGGCTAAACACTCTCTGCAACAAACTTCACCTACTGACTGAGTACCCTCAACTGGAACCAGTAATATGGACTCTTTTTCAACACGCGTTGCAGAATGAGTATGACCTCATGAGAGACAGACATTTGGACCAGGTACTGAATTATCAGTGATTTAGTCCCTGTATAATAGAGGGACTAGATAAATAACATAGGGAACAGCACTTTTTAGGAGATGTGCATCCTTGCCTTACCCTTTGAGTCAGGTGACCTCCCCCACTCCATTGTATATAAGACTGTTCTTAGCATTTGTCCTGTTGCTGGAATAGTGCTTCAGATGTTGCCTTGATCAGCTAATTCAGTTCATATCATGTGATTTCTAGAATAATATAGCCTTAATGCTGGACAGTGGAAACATTTGGCTCTTAGTTTATCAATAATTAAGCAATATGTTCATAATAAAGTAGAGCAAGACAGAGCTGACTTCAAAACTACTCTGATCATTTACTGTAGTAGGAGTTATTTATATGACAACATTTTATATCAAATATGAAGTTTATATAATGGAAAAAATTGATTTCAGCTATCCACAACTGTTGTGCAATGTTAGCTAACTAATTTCTGTTTTTCCAGATAATGATGTGTTCCATGTATGCCATTTGTAAGGTGAAGAACTATTTTCAACTATTGTTCAAAACTATTGTTACTGCCTACAAGGATTTGCCAAACACAAATCAAGAGGTAGGTAAAAGCAAGCTGTGAATACAGTAGAACTCCCATCATAACATGGTGCTTGGGATCCATAAAATCCCAATCCATGTTATAGTGATAGCGGATTTAACTGCGCATTTAGACAGCCTGACAAATTGTTACCTGCAGGTCGGACAGTTCCCGCACTAAAAGAAAACACGATTGATTTCTCTTTCATCAGATCACAACCAATGTCAATATCTGTAAATACAAGGTAGGAAGGGACATTGGAAGTGACCCAATGACCCACAAGTTGGCTATTTTAGTGGGTAAGGTTGGCCGGTACATGGGAAGCGAGCAGACTTGTTGTGTCCACAGTGGTCCACAGTGCCAACAACAACAACTTGAATTTATAGAGCCCCTCTCACGCAGAGTAGCATCTCAGAGTGCCACAGTATTATAAGCGAATTTGTGTTTTACTGAAACATATTAGAAGGACTGCATTGTTTATTGTATAGCCATTTTTTTGATTTTTCATATATTATTATAGTGCTAATAAATTAAGCTGTTTCTGTAACTTGATCAAATGTTTATTCATTTTTTGTTTTAGACTTTCAAAAAAGTGCTGATCAGAGAGGGACAAAGTGACTCAATTATTGGCTTCTACAATGTGGTGTTCATGCAGACGTTGAAAACGAACATCCTGCAATATGCTTCACCCAGGGTGAATTATCATACATATTTCATAATTTATACAGAGACTCCGAGGTGACACACCTGGTAATGTATTATCTGAATAAAGTTGATCCTTTGTGGCAGTAGTCGTTCCAGTGTTCCAAGTCAATGATGAAGATGGACCAGTCAGCCTGGCTTCTTAGCAGCTTTTGGAGAGACCAGTCTAGGATTCTTCCCACTTGATTTCTATTGGAGTTGAGGTACAGATCAGCCATGATCTAATAGAATGGAGGAACAGACTCGAGGAGCTGAACGACCTACTCCTGTTCCCGTGTTCCCATTAACCCTGGAGTTTACTGTACACACATTGTGTGGCCTAATTTTAATGTATTGATGAGGTGACAATCGTAACCTGTGATGTTACAATTGTCACCTGTTGATTTAACACTAGTTGATTAACACATAGTTGAAAATTGCCCTTGTTAAACTGGTCCGTAGATGAAACTCTTCCCCCTCATCCCCCCCAATTTCACACAATAGCAAAGAACCAAAGCCAGTCTATGTGTAATTAGACTGTTAGCTTTATTCAAATGTTTTGGTTCAGCTAACTCAGTGTTAATTAACACATCACAGATTGCAGTTTACACCCTAATATGTTTCTCTCTATACCATATTGCTTTTTTAATAGTTTATTTTAATATTTCTATTTGAAACAGCCACCAACACTATCACCAATTCCTCATATCCCTCGAAATCAATTTGGTTTTCCAAATTCTCCAATACGTGTGCCAGTTGGCAACATCTATGTATCTCCACTGAAGAGTTCGTACAAAGCTGATGGACTGCTCTCCCCACACAAAATGACACCAAGAACACGGTGAGCAGATTGCAATTGCACTTTAAATGCTCAGATCATAGGGCACAGTGTTTGATACTGAGGTCATCATAAAAATAAAATTTCCTTATTCTATGTTTAATGCAGCTAATTAATTTGGTAAGACTTTCACCTCTGTGTCAGAAGATTGTGACTTTGAGCTCAGTCTAGACTGACACACAAGAATAGCACTAGCAGTCCAACTGCATGTTTGAAGGTGCAGTTTTTTGGTTGAAATGTTAAACCGAGGTCCTGCCTGCCTGTTCAGATGCATGTTAAATTCATAGAATTGTTTAGCACAGAAGGAGGCCATTCGGCACATCGTGTCTGTGCCGGCTCTTTGCAAAGAGCTATCCAAATCAATCCCACTCCAGGACTACTGAGGTCCTGACCGACTGCCTGTCCGGCATCAAGTCCTTTCTCCAACTCAATGTCAGCAAGACCGAGGCCCTCCTGATTGGCTCGCGCCAGCGCCTCCACACCTCAGGCACTGGCAGCATCAGCCTCCACAGCTGCACACTCGACCTCACTGAGCCAATCAGGAACCTGGGTGTCTTGTTTGACCCTGAACTGTCCTTTCTCCCCCACATCCGCGCCATGTCCGGCACTGCCTACCACCACATTCGCAACATTGCCAGACTCCGCCACTGCCTCACCCTTCAGGCTGCTGAAACCCTCACCCACGCATTCGTCACATCAAGGCTCGATTACGAGAATTCCCTCCTCGTTGGCCTTCTCAACTTTTCCCTTCACAAGCTGCAGATCATCCAAAACTCTGCAGCTCGTGTACTCTCACGCACCAGGCTCCGTGACCCCATCACTCCCACCCTCGCCCAACTCCATTGGTTCTCCATCCCCCAGAGGATCGAGTTCAAGACCATCTATGGCCTTGCTCCCTCCTACCTCTCTGACTTGCTGACTCCCCACCAACCCACACGCTCCCTCCGTTCATCGGATTCCAGCCTGCTCCATGTCTCCCACCCGACCTACCATCGGTGGCCGGGTTTTCAGCCTCTCTGCCCCCACACTCTGGAACTCCATCCCATGGTCCCTTCGCCTCGCTTCCTCCCTCGCCTCCTTCAAGGCCCATCTCAAGACCCTTCTCTTTGACCGTGCTTTTGATCTCCATCCCACCTCTCCGCCTTCCCTCACCCTTACACCACCCATCCCCCATGCTTGGGCCCCGACACCTGACTGTTTAGCACTTTGGGACGTCCTCCTGACATGAAAGGCGCTCTATAAATGTAATTTTGTTGTTGTTGTAGATTGGTTCCACTTCCTGAATAGTTTATGGCTTATTAACATAGACCATGTGGTTTCCCCATCACTCTGAACAAGTAAACAACCATAACATTAACAACCTCAGAGTCTAAACCTTTTGAGCAATCCCTGTTTATATTGGATTTGTGGAGTCCTGTAGCTCAGTGGTTAGAGCACTCGCTTTGCAAGTGAGAGACCCGAGTTCAATTCCAGGCAGGGTCAAACCTTGGACAAGTTTCCTTACTCCACACACCTAATAATAATCCCTCCAAAAAATAAAAAAAGATAATGAAACATTGGTCACTTTCAATCTACGACTGTTTGTGGGACACTGCTGTGCGCAATTGGCTGCTGCGTTCGCCCACAAATATACAGTCAATTCACTTTACAGTATATTCTGTGAAGCGCTTTGGGACGTCTAGAAGACGTGAAAAGCGCTATATCAAATGCAAGGATTATTTATTTATTTATTTAGTTGTAGCCCCCATCAGAACATCTTTTTTTCATTCATGCTTCTGATATGCCACAAAGAGTCAAATTGTTTGTTCATTTTGACCTTGTGGTCTGGCCCTTTAAAGAAATACAATCAATTTCCTACTATGGCTTATCATGTGGTCCTATCTTAACTTTCGAGGTGGCCTTGCATTCTCTCAGACAATAATAGTAATTTAAATCTAAACAGCAACATTTTGGTGAAATGCACACTCTTCCTTCGGAGAAAATATGAACCATTTGTGAAGTCTTGCAAGAATGCAAGAGATCTGAAAGTTTTTAAAACCCTAGATCATTGTGCAAAAAAGTTGTGTATTATTTTCTAGAAAGACTACTTTCTATTTATCCCTGATGAAATGTTTGATTTCACAGATTCTTGGTGTCCATTGGTGAATCATTTGGGGTGAGTATTCTTAAAAACTAGCTTTTTTAAATTATTTTCATTTATTTATACTGAAATTGATATAATTGAATTGACTTCATGGTGCTAAGCAAGAGCAAAACTATCCAGAAGAACCGGGCTTCTTCTGAACTGGATTGGAAAATCAGGGAATTAATTAGTGAGAAAGGCAGCGAAACGAGATTAAGACTTTCAGAATCTAATAAACTGGAAGGAGCAAATTCAACAAGATGAGTGACCTCTTCCTATTCATATGTTCCTACTCCCATTAAACACAAATAATTGAATACACAGATATGTATAATTGCAATTAAAGCATTCTTTGTAGATTCCGGACAGTTGGGAGTCTTGACTGTTGTTTTTAGAAGATAAGTTTAGGGATGTTTGGTCCAATTATACTATTATACTTTATGTGTGGAGAACACTACTCTTTCAGTTACTAATAGGTTTTGCTGCATGACTCTTTGCTAAATTTAAGAATAAGTTTTAAGAATAAGAATAAGTTCTCTTTGACCGAGCATTCAGCTCCCCTCTCGACTCTCTTCCCCCTCCTCGCTCCCTCCCTTCCCTCCCCTTACCATTTCCCCCCTCCTCGCTGCCTCCCTTCCCTCCCCCTGACCATTTCCCCCCTGCTCGGGTCATGACCCAACTGTGCAGCGCCTTGGGACGTCCTCCTGACGTGAAAGGCGCTTTATAAATGGAATCTTGTTGTTGTTGTTCCCCATTTTTCCGATAAATTATTAGATTGATTGCCAGAAATGGTTGGAACATTCCAATTTGTATGGGTACGGGATAAATCTTTTCCTTAGTTTTACTGCCATGGAAAAACAAATCAATCAAAAAATCAGTTAACTCTACCTGGGAGGGGGGAAATCTGCTATTGTGTTTTCTTCCAAATGAGACCTGCCAATAATTGTTAGCATCACATTGTTACCATTTCAGACACCAGAAAAATTTCAGAAGATCAACCAGTTGGTGAACTCCAGCGATCGCCAATTGAAGCGTGCTGGGGACATGGGGAGTGTTCCAAAACCTCTGAAGAGACTTCGTTTCGATATGGATGGACAGGATGAAGCAGACGGCGGGTAAAAGAACATGTGACAAATTGTATTGACTGATTATTGCTAAAGATTTGGGTTTTGCACTTTCAGAATCTAATAAACTGGAGGAACAAGCTCGACGAGCTGAATGACCTCTTCCTATTTGCATATTCCTACCGCCATCAAACAACAATAATTGCTCATACAGATCTATATCAATTCTAAATAATTCTTTGGGTTCTCCAGAGTGTTATCCTTAACAGTAATCAAAGGGACACTTTGTATTGAGTATCATTTTTATTTTGTTTCAACATAAATTAATTGAGATTTTCTTCCTCCCTTTAGCAAACACTCACCTGGAGAATCCAAACTGCTGCAGCAGAAGATTGCTGAAATGAGTAAGTGTTTCCAATTTCCTTTCAAATGTATAATAATAATAAGCCTACTAATTGTAATGCTTTCATTACAATATTGCACACATGGCTTTTTTGTACCTCTTCTGTCTGTCCAACTATTCTGGGTAGGAATTCTGTCTATTCTCGCATTTTGGGGATTTTCATCAGCTGGAGTCTGCCACACATAGAAGTCCTTTGCTGTGATTAAGAATCTCTAGTTCCAGCTCCTGAGAACTCTAAAATCAGAGTGTCTGGTTGGCAGTGTGTAATTCCTTCCAAGTTCTCAACCAAGCTTTGAAGGGAAATTTGCTGTGTCAATGATCCGACTTTGGATATGCAAAAAAGCCAAACCAGAGTGCCTTACAATCTGGCACTGTTACAGTTATGAAGAAGTAATTGCAAGCTGGAGCAAACCAAATATGAATAGATCTAAAAGCCAAGCTTATCATCCAAGGCTAAACAGTATTAGCTTACCTAGTTGTTCCTCATAACCTAATAACATTGCAAATCAGCCCTTTGCCATTTTCCATATGTCCTGCATGGCCCCTTTATGTCATGATAATTAAAATTATGGCAGATACAGTGAATTAATCATGTATGTGTTTTAAAATTCAGATAGATATTTAATTCTCTAATTATTTTACATATTTTCTCATCATTCTCTTAGAATCATCTTTACTCCTCCAACCCATCTTATATTTATTGTGGTTCTGTAGCACAACAGCGATTTTCCACAGGGCAACTTAATATTATCATTGCTGTCCTGTTCAAAAATAGCACACAGTGCACTTAATGCTTAAATATCATTTACAAAAGTAACACTTGCAAAAATATGCTTTTGTCGTGAAACTCAAAAGGAGAATTTAGGATGTTTTTTTTCATCCAGAGTTGTTGGGATGTGAAATGCCACACCAACGAGGGTGATGAAGGTGAAGTTTATTGTAGTTTTCAAGAGGGAAATAGACAGGCATATGAAAGAGAAGAGTTTGAAGGGATATGGAGGTAAGGCAGGGCAGTGGGATTGAAGCAATGTCCTTGCTCTGTGGGCCGTTGCAGGTTTGATGGGTCAAATGGCCCCTTCCTATGCTGTAGATTTCTATTATGGAAAATTCTGCAAAGATGCACACTAATCAGATTCGAAGATTTGAATGGCCTTTTTTTCTAATCCAGTTAAAATAACTGCTACTGTACATCCTCTAACATCCTCTGGTAAAATAAATAATTTCTGTAATGTTTGATCAAGTATGCTGCTTCTTTTTAATCACAATGGGCTCTTTGATTTATTAGAATTGCTTTTACGTTCTGGTTGTTTTGGCTGAGCTTGTAACAAACACTTTTTCAATGTCCAATGTGTGAATTCGGGAAAGTACACTCAGGCATGGAATGCAAAGCACTTATTGCATAGTGTGGAAGAAAATAGTCAGTCTTGATACTTTGATTGAGGTCATTCATATTAAATTCAGAATTGAATTCCTTCTGCCTATTTTTTAGAATACATTAGAATATACAGTTAGGTAATATCAAATGTGATTGTTTCATTTTGACTCATTGTTGATTATATTCCTGTATAGCATCCACAAGGAATAAAATGCAAGAACAAAAAAAGAAAAACGGCAATGATGTTGTGAAGAAGGAAGAAAATTGACATTAAAGTGACTGATCCAGAATAATGTATACATTGCATGATCTTCTGTGGCAAGTCACTTATAAACTTCTCTTTTATGGCTATTTTTTCTTCTCAGTTTTAGTTTCTATTTAGCAGCAGTTATTTACTAGTGTAACCTGCTGTTGTAGAGGTTCTTAAGATATTTTAGAAAAAATGTTTTTCTGCACTATGCCTTAAATATGTAGCATGTGCCTAAAATTTTTATTACTGCTTTTATTTATATTTCTTTGAGTTTTTACTTTCTACAAGCTAGATTTGAGTTTATCCCACTTCAATTTCCTAGGTTTACAAGTTGCAAAAAGATGTGTCCATCGTAAGATTGGTTCTACTATTGAGGCAAATGAGTAATGTTTGTAATGAACAAGAGTAAGATGCAATAATGTGGCAAAATGCACCATCGCTTTAAATTTGTGCTTAGGTCCCACATCTCATATTTTTGAAAGTTTGAAACTGATGCACTATTTGAACATTCAAAAGTTTCCAGCAAATTTAATAACATATGAAAGTGTGAATATTCGGCCACACGACTGAGCATTGGCTTATATACCTCAAACATTCATAGACTTGAGAACTAAAACACAAAGACTACTAACACAAAGTATTGTCAGAATTATCTATACATTTGATAAACAAATTGTTGTGATCTTTGCTGCGATGCTGGGCTCGTGGTAAATGCTTGCGAAAATGCTCTCATAATAGACATTATTAATGACCCATAGACTGTTTTGATCACTGTATTGATGTCAAGTTGCTTTCCATTCATGACACCTAACAACTATGTCAAATTCTTCCTTTCTGTAAAACAGCTCGACAGAGGTGCAGAGGTAATCCATCTGTTTCTCTTAATTGGAATTAAGTGGTTAATCAGTATGAAGAATAAATATTTTTTTCATATTTAATATTTCTGATATGGAGCATATAAAAAAGCTTCTGAGTTCATTTATTCAGTAAGAAATATATTTGTACTGCACATTAAGAATTAAGGTACTGTTTTATAAATACGGCTTTGTTTCTTTATAGTGAATAAAGATATGTAAGAATTATCTGTTTAAATTGTTTTTGTAGCATTGCACTAAAAAAAAACAAAGATGAATTTTAAGTCTTAGAACAAATCGTAGCTGTCGTCACTCACTAATGCAGTGTTGCTCCAAGTTATGCACCTACATTAATTTCAGCGCCTTGTGACATCCCCCCGCCAGGAAAGCCACTATGTAAATGCAGTATGTTGTCGTAGTATACAAGACGGTCAGGAGAGGGAAACCTGAATGATTCCTGGGATTTGAGCTTCAAGGAAAGGCTGCAGAATCTGGGAATGGTCACACAATAGCAGGTGCCTCAGGAGAGATCTTATTGCATTTAAGAATATCAGGGACTCGGATTAAGGTTTGACATAAATCTACATGTATGAGGGTCAAAACGTAGAAGAGGGATAATGATTAGAAGGAATAACAGACAAGAATTGGACTGAACAAAATCAATAAGCTGCATATATACAGCAACTTTGACACGGAGAACATCTCAAGGCACGTTACAATGCCTGAGTGGAAGCTTGAGCCTGAGGGGTGGGGGAAGATGGAGGCCCAATGGAAGTACTACAAAAGGAATAAATAACAAGTACCCACTTTTATCCTCATTTTCGAATTTTCATTACATATTTAATGAGCTGGGAGTGAAAGAATTATAAAATGTCATAATACAGTATCAACATTTGGTTTCTTAAGGAGATGTGAATAAAAGAACACTATACAACAGCATACTACTGTAAAGAGAAGATTGCAACACATTTAAAATTAAAAACTACATTATAGTTTCAAAGGGGAAAAACAAGAGGTTCACTTGTTTAAACTGTTTGCTATTCTTCATATTCTCAGAAGTAAAGACAAATAAGTTATGATCCAGTGCTAAAGACAACCAAAAATTAACGGCCATTAGAATATTTATTTTATAAATACCTATACATTTTCCAGTTATTACAATTTATATCCTTACATTTGCATGTTGATGCATTACAGAAATATTTACTTGTCAAATTAATACAGTTGCATGGATTTTATTACATGCAAAACATTGTCTATCTGATAATCACACACAGATAATTAGACCTTTATCAGTACAATATAATACACAGGTAAGTTGCTCATCTAACAACTGATCCTCATATTTATGGTTGCAAATTTGAGAGAATTCGATAGTTATTTAGCAAAGAATTCAATCCAGGAGGAATGGAGATATGGTGTAGAATTATTTATTTTCTGAAAACATTTCAACACCCAAAATGAGGAAACTTATTAAATTGTTTTATTTAAAAAGAATATCTGCCTCAATAACAGCAGATCAAATGGAAAATTCAAAATAGCGGTGTAACAGGCTTGGGGAGCAGCATCTCATTAATAGGTAACAATTAAGAAATGAAATCTGATTTCATGATGCATGTTAGAAGGGAAGTTATGAAATGTTGATTTTATCCATTAGATTTGTAAAAATTATAGCATACAAGATCATCCAGCCTCTGCTGTGCTCTGCTCCTCCAATGAAGTTGTCCACTCTTTCCTGAACTTTCTCTATATATTACATACATCGAAAAGAAAGTAGGAAAAGGGCCCTGAGGCGCACACCCATTCCACCTGCCACCCGACTCGCATTACACTTTTCTCCTATTGTCAGCATCCCAACATCCCAGGGGAAGCAGAGAATAAAAAAAACTGCTCAAATGTTTTTAAGAGGGTAGTGATTAATCTAAGTTCAAAATATATAGTTCATGAATGGACATTGGAAAGACGTGATTCAGCAGAACTCTGTGGGTACAAATTATTTTTTGCCCATAGAGTATTGCACATGTCAGATAAGAAATGTAAATGTTGGATTGAACCAGTGGTAGATAGATCAGAGTGAATATTTATGGGTCAGATTGAGTCTTAATTGCACCTGCAATTTATGAGAATGGCATCAATCTTAACCTTTAAGTGCTGGGTAAAACCAGCACTGACAAGTGGAACATAACTGAATTTAGTTTTGAAATAATATATTGAATTGATGTCAATTTTAGATAAAATATGATCACCATTTGACGAAATGACATGTTCTCAGATATTTGTTTGTGTCCATTTATTACATGATATCCCAGTAATTTTAGCTAAGTGAGTTCTGATTATATTATTCCAATTTTGTAATATATAAAAAACAGCATTATTCATCTGTAATCAAATGTAAAATTGTGTACCACATTAACTCTTCACAAAATTCGAAGGGAAATAAATCCCTGGAAAGTAAGCATATTAAGGGAAATGGAAAGAAGGTAGTGAAACATCTGTCATAATCTAATAAAACTCAGGAGCAGGTAGGCTTGATACTCCGATTGCCTGTTCTTGTTCCTTACCAAAGTACTGATAGCAACAATTCTGGGCCAGGTACACAGTTTTAGGTGACGCAGGGGGTGGAGAGAAAAAAAGACTGTGGCAGCAACCATTTGGTTTATGTAGGGAGTGAGACTGGCTGGTTGTTGGTGGCAGAAAGGCCATGGATGGTGACCTATGGGCAAGAGGTTCTTTGTGCTGCTAAAGATAACAATTTTGATGATGTCACCTAAAGTGGGATTTTCCCATCAGTACACACCATATAATATTACTGCACAGAAATAGGCCATTTGGACCATCATTAAGGTTGTTAGAAGAATTTTCCCCCCGAATTCCCAACGAACAATTTTACGTGATTGTCTCTTGAAGCACTGACATTGTCAGAGCTCCTTTAGGAGGTGGGGGAGGCCATCAGAACAGAATTTTGAGAAAGTCCCAACAATTCTTACCTGCTGGGAGGTAACATTTTCAAAGTATTTCTTTGTAATATTTTGCCCCCTCAAAGTCATCCAGCAAAAATCCACATCAACCTAACAATACAATTTACATTATTCTACCCTGACCAACTGCTTTCCACGGCAGTATACATGATCATCTCAGTCTGTAGTTATTTTTATTATCTTCATTCCTGATATTTATCTCTTTCAAACAAGTTAATTGAGACTGCATTAAATATTACTTGGAATGTTTGGGTGTAGGCATATGTTTGTGGGTGAGAGGTGTGGGAAGTGGGATTTCCTCTAATAGATAGCATTGCTTGGGATGTCCTCCTGGAAAAAGTGCTACAAAAGGTGCTGATAACTTGCCGCTCCCAGGGAAAAGGAATTAGCGCCAAGTTATCCGGAGGGTGAGTTAATAATAATAATCCTTGCATTTGATATAGCGCCTTATCAGGTCTTCGAGACATCTCAAAGTGCTTCACAGAATATATCGTAAAGTGGATTAACTGTGCATTTTGGGGAGAAACGTAGCAGCCAGTTCTGCACAGTCCACTGAGAGGATTATTACCCCTGGAAAGTGATCCGGCAATCGACTGACAACCAGATTCCTAATTACAGCTAGGTAACCGGAGGCATGTGGAGTAAGGAACCTTGTCTTTCGCACCGCCCTGAAATCGAAGCCGGGTCCTCTCGCTTGCGAGGCGAGCGCGCTCACCGCTACACTACTCTGCGTCCCTTAGGCACTACCGTAGGAGTTGGGCACAGAGCCTTTCGAGCCACAAAAGGAGGGTTGCGAGCTTGTATTGTACACACTAACATACACTATCACAGAGCGAGCAGCTATCAACGTGCAAGTGTCCCCAACCCCTGCAACTGTCAGTTTATTGTTTAAAAATTGTTTATGTTTAGTGTTAAGTTTAGTATAAGTAGAGGCATATATCTATCAATGCACTTATTTTCTGTTTCCTATCAACAGCAAATTCAACAAATTGCATTTACATAACTTCTTTCACATCAGGATTATCGCTTATTTGTTACTGTATTGGTAATGGTACTTCTCAGGAGATGTACTGTAGTGTATTAAAGAACAAATATACAATACTTCCAGGTTATATGTGAAAATTAAATGTCTTTACTTCTGTTTTGAGTCATGCAAGTTATCCAATCAATTTTATATTGAGTGTAATTAAGAGAATTTCTAGAATGCAACCAGTCACGCATTAAGCAGAGGGACAAGTGGAGTGTTAACACTTTGCGTGGGAAGCGGCCGGAATAGTGACAGCTTGGCGATTTAAGACTGGGTCGAGTTATCAGGACTTTACTGTATATAAATGCAATTTGTTTTTTTAAAGTAGTCCCTTTACCTTGACATTTACATTATTTTACAAAATTATTATTTAATTTTAAAGATTAAGGATGTAATCTCCATAAATGAACTGCCCAACAGAAAAGTATTCTCTCTTTATATTTTAGTCCATTCTTGGAAAAAATCCTTTAATAAAAGGATGAATGAAGGATAGTGTTAACCTCAAATGACTTTTAAACTTTAGTGAAGCTTCATTATAATGATGGCAGGGATCCATGAAATAGCAGGAATTGAGCTGGCTGGTTGTGGGCATGTGCAGTTAATGTGCTACACACTCCATTCATGTTATAAACAAATGAATATTTTAACAATATAGCAAGGTTGCTGCATTGTATAAAAATTGAATGTGAGCAGTTTGCAAACCTAAGCTCAACATTAGAGTTTTTTTTTAAAAAAACTTCAAGCTGTAATATGTGTAAAAACACTGAAATGTTACAGAGTATTTTTGGATGCTGTACATAAAAAAAACAAATTAGTGGAGGCTGTGTTTCCCTTCTATTCTGAGATTCTTGACAACATAGTACAACAGCCTGTCATTTTAAGTGCAGACACACAAACATAGGATCAATGGATCAAATAGGATTTTATGAAACAGACACCACATGAATTATGCAGCTCTAATTCAAACAAAAATATTGCTAAAAGAAAGCAACATTGCATACTTCAGCTCTAAACAAAACAGAATTTATGGCTGTATGTGAACTATCTAATAATAAAGTGCAAAATATTTTGAGAAGACTACCTCTGCAAGTATTTTGTTTTCTGCAAAGGTAAATGGAAAATCACAATCTTACTTTTGTCATTGGAGCCACTACTTTTATACATGGACATCGAGCTGCTCCTGGTGTTTTCAGTTTCTAGTGTGAACCATTGCCTTCACTGCTTGTAATGTGCTGCTTCAGTTTCTGAATGCTCCATGTTTGCTTGCTTTGCTGATAAATATCTTTAGCAAGTCATGATCCATGCTTGCAAACGCTTGTGTTTGCGTTACTGCTGTCAAATGATTGACACAGAACTTAAAGCAAAACTCTTCCAAACCCTGGAAAAAAATTTGTATTTAATTTACCTAAAGATTATTATGATCCCTTTAACATTGACTATCCTCTAGTTTTAGTTTAAAGATTGTTTATCCTTGTACAATTTTATTGCATTACATCATATCACTGTATTTAAGTGCTCTGAGCGTGAAGAGCACTATATAAATGCAAGTTGTTGTTGTATTTCTTTTACTATCTTTCTTCAATAAAATCTAAACAAAAATATTCTGAAATAATTGCTTAAACTAACAAAAAAAACTTGGATCACAAATTTAGTTTGAAGAATACAACTATCAGTGGCAGTGTAACAAAGACAGTTTGGTGAAGAGCAAATCTGCTTGTAATTTTTTCCACTGACTAGGAATGGACTGAGGGGAGGGAAGTCAGCGGGAGACAACAAAAAGACATTCCTTGCACACAGTACACATTTCCCTACCGTTGCTTCATATTTCACTGCAGCAGACAGTAAATTGATGCCATTTTCCACTGAAATGCCTTGTTTAATAGTCTGTTCACAAAGATGTTTTAAGTTGTTCTCTCTGTAAAATGTTGCCAAATCCAGAAGGCCTGTGGGATTAAATAATATATTCAACGGACTTTTCCAAAGCAGCAAATAATAATAATCCTTACATTTGATATAGCGCTTTTCACGTCTTCTCGACGTCTCAAAATGCTTCACAGAATAGACTGTAAGGTGAATTGACCGTATATTTGTGGGCGAAATGCAGCAGCAAATTGTGCACAGCAGTGTCCCACAAATAGTCGTGGATTGAAAATGACCAATTTATTATTGTTTTGGAGGGATTATTATTAGGCGGTATCATTCTTGTAAATTCCTGAACTGCATCAACTAAAAATCTGACAACACAAATATATATGGAGAATTATTCATGTATTATAATTATTATAATTATAATTACCTTGCAGAAAAGCACAAATTTAAGGAACTTTAAGAAAATACAACACTGAAGAGTATACAATACTATTTAACTGGTAGAAACAGGCTAATCATGGTTCCAAATATATTATCAGCCCTATCATCTATCATCAACATCAATGGAGAATGCAAACATTGTAACCCCATGTCACTGCAGTGACTGCACTAACTTCACTACTATTTTTAATTTTCAATAATTGTTCTGATGCCTACAGCGATTATATCAGTAAGAAGGGTAAACAAATCAGTTTTAAATATTTATAAATGTGAGTACAGCACAATTGTTTACGCAGAAGGATTAGCATTATTCGTCAAATAGAAATAGCATCCCAGCTTTTAGTCTACATCTGCAGCTTCCACAAAATAAAGGGGGATGATCATAAAAGAAAGCAGGCTTCAGAAAATGATAAAAAGATAGGAATCATTTCAAGTTTACTAAAATATCTCAGTCAAAATGAGTATAATTGACTTGAGCTTTCCTATCATAGTTTTATCACATTGTATCTGAAACTCCTGGTTAAAATACTGCTGAGTACAACTGGTTGTGGGACACTGTTACGCGCAATTGCCTGCCAAGTTTCTCATACAAAATCTACACTTTCCAGTTTATTCTGTGAAGCGCTTTGAGGTGACTCGAAGACTTGATAAGGCGCTATATCAAATGCAAACAATGATTATTATTATATTATTATTACTCCCGCCACTAATGCTGGATTTTACAGAGACAGTAGATAGGTATACCTATTGCATCTTCAGGTTGCAGGTTGATTGTGTCTGTGTACAAGTATTCCAGAAAAGCACGGTACACCGGGTGGGTAAACTGATCGATTTCAACAACATCTTCATCAGTTAACATCGAACGGAAATGTTCACACCTACAGGAATAATAAAGAAATTAAATAATTTGTAAACATTCTATTATGAGTTTGTTTCTCTTCCTGTACTTTTTAGTTATTGAGCCCCAATTGTAGAGAGTTGGCAATCAATAACCAGGTAAATAAGGAAAACCTATTTGGGAAATGGTAACAAGGGGGCAGTCTCTGGACAAATTACGAGGCGAGGTAGGGGCAGAGAGGGAATGTGCACAAAGCGGTTCATCAATGAAGAGCAAGGTGTCGTTCTGGGAGAAAAAGGGAATAAGGTGTCTGTGTCACTTCTCTGGGATCTAGTGGCATGAAACCCAGGTTATAGCAGATGGAGAGCAAGGGGAAATCCATAAGTATTAATAATCTGTGAGTAGTATGGCAGGATAGATGGTCTAAGGAGTAGATCAAAATGGGGATGGTGAAGTTAACCAGAGAGGACAGAAAAGGAAAAAAATAGAATAAAAAATAAGTCAGAAGTGAAGGAAAAGAATGAAAATGGATGGAGATGATTGATAGAAAAAAAATGATTTTGTTTTCTAGATCAGTGACCAAGATGCCAAGATCCTCGAAGACACAACTAAAGACATATGAAAACCAAATATCTGATATTTTCAAATCCTTTGCATTCTGTAAAACTAGTCTTCCATGAAAACGATGTATTTTGCATTGAACCCTTTAAGAGGTACTACGATGAGGGATATTAACATTTCAGTATTGTTCAGAATAAGGAATTTCTTATCAATTCTGAAAAATAAACGATTTCAAACACTGCAAAACAAGTTCCAAGAGCTTTCTGCAAACAGCATTTTATAGAAAGTATATTAAACAATAAGCTAATATGTACCTTATTTTGAGAACAGTTTTGTGAACGTATATACATTTCCCTTCCACGATGAACTTTAAATCTGAGGTTTGAGTGCTGTCAAACTCCTTCTTCAGTGCTTGAGCCACTGTCAAGTGATTTTCACCCTCTGTAGCAAGAAAAGATGAATAAGCAAATTAGAAGTGGCAAAGAAAGAAATACTAGTTGTGAATACATTTCACTAATCTATCAGTTAACAATCTAATAAAAATTTCATTTCTGGCATGCTTTTATAACAGTTACACACCCACAATACTTTATGAGAGAATGTTCTCATAAATTCAATGAGCAAACTCTGCAAGCTACAATAAGTGCATTGAAGAGTTGTAGATTTCTTTCACCTTCATCTTGCTCAACTAAATTTAAAAATTTGGTCACTCAATCCACGATTGTTTATGGGACACTGTTGTGTGCAATTGGCTGCCTGCCACATTTCGCCCACAAAATATACAGTCAATTCACTTCACAGTATATTCTGTGAAGCGCTTTGAGACGTCTCAAAGATCTGATAAGGCGCTATATCAAATGCAAGCATTACTATTATGATTATCATTATTATAATAACCCTTACGGAAATTTAATTTTACAGAGCTGTGCTCCAATGCTGTGCAAAGTACAAGGTTTACACTCTTAGCATCAGTTTTGCATTGTAAAGATTCAGACTCAGGTCTACTTTACAGGAATGAATAGTATTTATGATATCACAATCTGTGTGAGGGTCAGAGCCTGATCCACATGTTGTGCGAGTCTGAGAATATGTATCCACGCTAACAACCCTCACTCACAGTCATGCAGCGGCCTTGGCAAGGGATCTGCCCCCATCACCTCCCCTTTTGGTCTTTTCCTAAACTCCTACACAACATGATGTCCTGCTACATTCTCCCTGAAGAACTCCGAGTAAATGTAAAGACAGGCCTTTGATAATAATATAACTTAAATATGACTCCAGATTGATCTCACCCTTAAGAAATCTGATCTGATCTTACAGTTCGACAATCTGAAAAATGCTGTTTTTCAGCTTGTCTCAGTCAATAGCACTCTAAGCTCTGAGTCAGAAAGTTGTGGGTTCAAGTTCAGGAGTAATAATCTGAAATAACATTTGAAATAATCTGCCAAGTGGGCTATTGAAAGCAAGACATTGGAACTATTCCATTAAAGAACAGCTTAAACACAGAAAAGTTCAGATGCTTCTTTTTATCATGAAGTTTTACCAGGTTCTTATTTTGGTTAATCACAAGTATTTGTGGTGACATTCAAATACTTGCAGCGGGTGAAAGCTGTGATTTATAATGGCTGAAAGCACACACACAAATCAATTTAACACACCACAAAGAGAACACCCATATTGTTCTCAAATAGTCAAAACACCATCTCACCTACAGTCAGCAGACGCCACGTAACTGCAGGAGAAGCAAAGCAGGCAAATACATCATCAGTGCAAGTGAAGTGAGTGAGATGTGGGACAGTGACTGACTGACCCCGGCATTGGCCCCACATGTACACCTGACCACTCTGGGTCTTAGCAGCAGAGGTATGACTGGAATGACAGGCTGCGATCTCGACAACCCTGAAGAGAGCCAGAAAAGACGTGATAAATACAGACACGTCAACATTGATTTCAGGAAAACGGCAGACACTTTGGGTGCAAAGCATTAATTGTGATATTCAATTATTGGCGTTAGAGGAACATTAATAGTTATTCACATTTGGTTGCTTACAGGAAAGCTTGCAATTTGCTATTACTTCTTTCCTGAGATTTTGAAACTCATGCAATGAAACCTCACTTAAAAAAGTAGCTTCCCAAATATTTTCTTGATAACCAACAAAGAATATTAACTTCCTCTTCACGTTAGCATGGCATCTCTGAGTGCTTAACAATGGCGCCGTTTGATGCTGAATCAGGGAGAAGAGAAAGGTAACCGTTCAAGTTCGAGATGAAAGGGTTCAGGTGTGATGTGCAAGGAGGAGGGATTGAGGTAGAGTTCTAGAGGCTCAAGGCATAGTGGCTGAAAGCCGACAAAACAGATACACTTCCATTAAAGACAGAATCCTTCCCTTAAAGGTCACCAGATGTCAGTTTATCAGTGATTGGTGCAACAAATGATTATGCTAAGCATTACACACAATTGTATTAATTGTTCAACAAAATTTCTAATTTCAAAAACATGTAATCATAATTATAAAATATTAATTAATGGAACTAAATAATGTCCGAGTATTAGCATGACCATTACCTTTCCCTTTCCATCTTGACCTGGACTGGACAGGATTGGTTGCTTTTAATCCCAATGCCCAGCTGACCATAAGCATTAGCTCCCCAGGAATAGAGCATGCCCTCGTCTGTTAGTGCAAGAGTGTGAGCATAGCCACAAACAATCTGCAAGTACAGTGAGAAGTAAAGCTTCACTAACAGGAATCTCCCAACGTGAAAAAGATATAAAATTGTAACTAGAGCATGAATAAAATTAGAACTCTATACACAAATGGATTCTTATTGATTTTGGAGACAGCTTACCCCTCCTATCACTGAAGGTATGGTACTACTGAATCTTGTACTTATTAAAGTCAATACTAGAATATAACAACAACAACTTGGATTTATATAGCGCCCTCCATGCCGGACGGTGTGTCAGAGCGCTTTGAAATATGAAACACTTTCCAATTTTGGACATCAAGTATTCCAGAAAAATGTTGGTTTGTGAGTGGGAGTCAATCATAAAAAATATACTAATGGCATCACTAGAGTTATGGAGAAATTAGCCCATCAAAAGACTTACGCATGGTCATTCTTGTATTTTAGACCTTGAATTAGTCGTGCTATGTATACAAAACATGCACTTTAACTGCAATTTTCTCCTACAAAACAAATCAGTCAAAATCATTGAAAAATATTTTTTCCAAATGACGAATTTGCTTGAAAGAGTAAATTGCACTCCTTTAGGTACAGAAGTCATTACAACAATAAAGTACATTATTACATAGAACATTAGAGCATGGATATAGGCAATAAGGTCCAACTAGTCCATGCTGGTGTTTATCTGCCTCACAAGTCTCCAACTCTCATAATCTTCTCACACTATGGTACTTTCTCCCTCATGTATATAGTGCTATTTACGTAAAGCAATGTCTCGGAGCACTTTTCAGACACAGTACAGTGCACTAAACAGAGGATTGAGGAGGTGATCATGGCCAAGGTTAAAGGGGATTTCAGGTAGCTTTTGAAGGCAAGAATGATAAGAGGCAATACAGAAGGGATGAGGGAGGGAATTTCAGAGGTTAACACAACGTAGCTAAAGACTTAGCCATGGATGATGGGTGGAGGGTGCAGGAAACTCACAGCATTCCCGAGTTTGCCGGGAAGAAGGGTGAACAAGAATGAGGCTGAAGACCACAGAGGTAGGCAGGTGCAAAGGGATTTGGAGGTGTGACGATCTTGAAGTTGATTCTTTAGGAGGCATAGGAAGGAGTTAATGGAGCCTACTGACCATGGGGACAGTAGCAGAGTTTTGGGTGACAATTGCTTGTGATCGGTGAAGCTAGGGAAGCTGGCGACGACCAAATTTGAAAAGTCAGGTCTGAAGGTGACAAAGGCAAGAATGATGGATTCAACATGATGATGAGAATGGAAGCAGGCATTGGTGAAGATGCAGAAAAGCAGTAATGGTCATGGACAAGTGATGGGGAGGAAATAAGAGCACAGGGTCAAACCAAATGGTTCCGCGCTGGAGAGAGAGGCCAGGAAGGATGTTGATGTCAAAGCAGAAGCAAAGAGTTGTTGGTGGGAGCCGATGAGGATTGTTTCTGTCTTGTCTATGTTTAGCTGAAGAAAGTTGAGGCTCATCCAACACTTGATGTTTAATAGACAAACAAACAATAGTGGACCTGTAATCAAGGGTAGAAGTAGAGGATCGATTTGGAGGTCATCAGTGTACATATGAAAACTAACCCAATGTTTGCGGATTATTTCACTAACGAGGAACATGCAGATGAGGAAAAGGAATAGACTGAGTATAGAGGCCTGAGATATACCACAAATGAGTGTGCAAAAGGAAGAGAGGTTATTGAAGAAGAGTGTGGAGGTGATGGGTCAAATAAGATTGGTAAATACAATTGGTCACTCACTCCATGACTGTGGGACACTGCTGTGCGCAAACTGGCTGCTGCATTTCGCCCACAAAACAGTCAATCCATTTTACAGTTTATCCTGTGAAACACTTTGAAATATCTTAATGATATAAGGCGTTATAGCAAATACCATGATTATTATTATTGGAACCAGCAAAGTGGGTGCTCGCAGAGGTGGGTGAGAGAAGAAAGGCGATCAAGGGAGAAGTGATCAAAAATGTCAAAGCAAGCAGAGCTCGAGGAGAATGAGGAAGACATTACAGGAATGTAACACAGCCATTAAATTGGCATGTGATACTGAACTATCATCCTCATCAAGAGACTTTGAGGCAAATCTATGCCATCTTCTTTCTGTAAATTTAAAAATTATCTTGGTGTAATTCTATCTGGATGATGATGCCGCACCACATGAGATTTGAAAGTAAATGGCGTGTTTCCTGTGTAATCAGCCATGTGTCTCAAAGCATTGAGAATTATACAATCTAAATATTTTAGATCACAGCACAAGACACTTAGATAGTTGAATAGTTATAATGTACAGTTCCAGTTAGCTGCTCCACTTACAGTATTGGGAGAAAAACATTTCTTAGTGCCTATAATTTAATAATAATAATCCTTGCCTTATCACGTCTTCGAGACATCTCAAAGTGCTTCACAGAATATACTGTGTTTTGTGGGCAAAACGTTACAGCCAATTGCACATAGTAGTCCACACAACCAGTCATGGATTATGTGACCAAATCACATTTATTTATCTTGAAGAAAAGCGATCCACTAATTGACTAACAACCAAGTTCCTATTTTCTGCTAGGTAAACAGAGGCGTGTGGAGTAAGAAAACTCGCCCAACATTTCGCAATGCCCGGGAATTGAACTCAGGTTCTCTCGCTTGCGAGGCGAGTGCTCTAACCACTAAGATAGGCGATTCCCATCATTTCCTTCTTCCATGGCCACTCCCCAGTTAACGATCGTTATATTATTCCATTTCATAATATAGCAAAATCTCACGAGAGGACTCTAGAATAAACACTGCATTCTTGCACGCATTTTATTGGTCAATTAGTATGATCAAAAGATTAAGAAAATGTTATGACAGAACATTAAGAGAAATGCCATAAAACTAGTATCACTTAGATTCCTAAGAAGACAACTGCAAGCATACCTGACACACATGTATCCCATGTAATGCTGCCAGTCTACATGGGGTTGGTTGATTTCCATTGCTACCCAATCCAAGCTGCCCATTGCCATTGTAACCCCAGCCATATACCTGCAACACAAAGCAAACTAGCATCATAAAAAATCCCAAGCATCAAAATACATGTGTGAGATTTTTTAACCTTCATCATAAACCTTTGTAAAATCTTATAATAGTGTTGAGAAAAGTCAGATTACGAGTTAATGAGATTTGGCTGTATTAAAACAAGACACAATAATTAAATATGTCTACCAAATACACAGGACTACTCACCTCTCCATTATCTAACACTGCCATGGAAGATGTCTGGCCACAGGCAATGGTAACAGCCACTTTATTCTGCAAGCAACTGGATACTCTTCTTGGTGTTGGTTGGTTAGCGGTAGACCCAGATCCGACTTGACCACAATTATTATAACCCCAGGCATAAACCTATAAGGAACAAAAAGTTTCAATATGCAGTATTAATGAAGTAAGTTGTGTTAATTCTCCACTGAAGGCTCCTAAATGTTATCAAACTAAAAGTCCCTTTCCATCATGAGAATGGCTTGATAAAAAAACCTTGCATTTGATATAGCACCTTTCAATGTCTCAAAGCACTTCACGGGATTTACTGTTAAGGGTCGTGATTGTGTATTTGAAGGAAACAGCCACTTGCACTCGGCAATGTCCCTCAAACAGTCATGAAGTGAATGGACAATTTTATTTTGGGAGATTGTCGGTCAGGACACTGGGAGAAGCTTCCTTCTTTTTCAATAGCACCATAAGATCTTTAACATCTACATGAACAGCCAGGTGGGACTTTGGTTTAATGTATCATCCAAAGAATGCTCCCTCCGACAACACAGTGCTTGCGTAGCCCTGCATTGGAGTGTCAGCCTAGACTGAATTCAAAATGCCAAAGTGGGCCTTGAACTCAACAACAACTTGCATTTATATAGGGTCCCTCACGCTTTCTCACCCTCAGGTTCCAGAGCGCTTTCTCAAAACTTTCTCAGTCAAAGGTGAGAGTGCTACCAACTGATAGATAAGGTACTAGAGATACAGTAGTAACTAAAAGCTAGTTTTTCATTTTAACATGTTATTCAGTAAAAAAAAGCTTCTTTAATTTTAATAAGGAAGTAAATTTGAAATATTTATTGCTAGCAGAAAATTTTAGTTACATAAAAAATATATTCATCTAATAATCATCTTTGCATTTGATATAGCACCTTTCATGTCAGGAGGGGACATCTCAAAGGGCTTCAAGAATTTACTATAAAGAGCAGAATCCGCTCCACGGGATGATCGATTGTCTTTGTGTTGGGTTGGTTGTAATTTGATATCTTGCTCTTTCCACTCTAACCTGTTCTGCAGGGTGATAAATAACTGCCAGCATGTTTACAGCAGGGGGTGATGATAAGAATATTTTTTACATTTGATGCAGCACGTTCATCTCAGGAGGACATCTCAAAGCATTTTGCAGGATATACTGTAAAGTTTATACTGTAAAGGACATGTAGCAGCCAATTTTTGCACACAGCAACGTCCCACAAACAGCTATGAAGTGAATGACCAATTTTATTTTGGAGATTGTTGGCCAGAACACCAGAAGAAACTCTTTTCATTTTCGAATATTAGCAATCATAATGATGTCAGTGTAATAGCTATCCAATTCACCAGCCTGTCCACCTCTTTGTTTGTTGTCTGAGCTTTTTTGTGGCATTTGATGCATTTGATGTAGCGTTTTTCACGTCTTCTAGACGTCTTGAAGCGCTTCACAGAATATACTGTAAAGTGAATTGACTGTATATTTGTGGGCAAAATGTAGCAGCCAATTTCGCACAGCAGTGTCCCACAAACAGTCATGGACTGAAGTGACCAATTTTTTTTTCCTCGAGGGATTATTATCAGGCGTGTGGAGTAAAGAAACTTGCCCAAGGTCTCATCCTACTGGAAATCGAACCCAGGTCTCTCGCTTGCGAGGCAAAAGCTGTAACCACTGAGCTACACGACTCCACATTGGGATCAAGTTTAATTTACATTCCATTTTTGTACCCGATATGGACACTTTACTCTTGAAGGTCTTCCTATTTTGAAAGCAACAACATAACAAAACACGAGTGTTAAAAAATAAATGCAAGGTGAAATGAGTGGTGCAATGCTTTTGTTACTGACATTTCATATCTGAGATCTGGGTTCAAATCACGCCCAGATTGATTAAAAGCATTTTGGTTTGTTAAGGTGTATCGCTATATCAACCCAGTTCCTAGTGTTCATGGGAAAGTATTCATTTTCACAAAATCCCTGATTTATAATTTCAGTAATTTCATGATTTCACAATTTTACTGACAATTTCAGGTGTTTCACAAAATCCCTGGTTTCACAATTTTATTGTAACATATACAAAGCACTGCAGTTTGAAATCCTTTCATCAGTTCAATCAGAATATGCCATAAAAAAATCACAAATAGTGTTAAAAGATTTTTTTAACCAAACAACCCACAATTTAAATTTACAAATTGTTAATAATACCACAAGAGGCTACAGTGTTGTAAGAATAAAGGTAATATTGAGAAAAAACACAAAGAGAATCAGCTATCCTGGTTACTAACTGGAAAAGCACAGTACCTGGACTTAAAGTGGCAATTTGCAGCCTAAAGATAATGCTATTGAAGAATGATGATGAAATATTAATATTCACCTTGACCAGCAGCCCAAAGCAGCTTTGGAAGGATCTGAAAAAGCAGAAAAGTGCTATCTATTGTAAGCTTGCTAAAATTTACAAGCACTAGGCAGACAGGACCTCAGTTTAACGTCTCATCCAAAAGATAGACCTTCGACAATGCCGAACTCCCCCAGTACAGATTCTCACCTCGCCATCAGATGTCATCACCATGGAATGATGGGATCCGCACGCTACCTCAGTCACCTTCTTGTGTAGCAGATTGGTAGAAACCTGGCAAGGAGACAATCCTTGATTGGTTGTTCCATTGCCAAGTTGACTGTAACCATTGTTCCCCCAAGCATATACTTCTCCGTCTGAAACCAACAGATATATCAATCAATATGTATCTTTCTGCAACTATGGCAATATGTGAACACACATATTGTGTTTAAAGTTATGAGCGGAAATTGTTCTTGAATAAGGGAGGGGGAAAAAGGATGAAAATATTTCTGTTGACTTGCAGCTTTTTTTGTTACAAAGTACAATGCTGTGGGATGCTTCAATTGGTTTATTAAAATTAGGTTTGGAGCATGTCAACATTTTAAAGCCTCATGATCATTTTCTTAAAAGAGGGTAAATAACACACCATTCAATGCCGTTCTTTCTCTGGGAATCAGTGTCATTCACCACAAAGAAAAACAAGGTATTCTATTTGTGCTTTTTACAGTAAACAAACTATTTCCCCGAGTGACACAACATTCTTTCCTCGCATTTAATTCAATAGGTTGATGGTGGAGGTGTTCTCTAATCCCTAACAGGATGAGTGTCCGTTTACGTAGACAATGTGCTGGTGCATTATCACATTAGTTGAGGAATTCTCAGAGATTGCAAAGTCTCTCAATCAAATATCTCAGGAGAATCCTTAAATTGTTAAAAATTCTAAGAGACACTAGGCAAACAGTGACAAATATATACACTTTAGTTAAGAGTCAGGGATGTTGACTCTCCCATCAATTTTCTTTACAGAAAACTGTTTTCAAAATTGCACTGAATTTAAGAAGTCTAAAATTGCATGTTGTGAAAAGCTAAGAAAAAGTCTTAAGTGACACCCAGGTGGAAATTCTTCCCCTGCAGGGTTTCCGATTGGCCTGCAGAGTGGCACGCAACTGCTGCTTAAACTCTGCCCCTCCAACTGGTGGAATTATTGCTTAATGGGAAGAGACGTGGGCCCGAGCTGTGGACAGGAAGATGTTGGCAATGCTCTTACGTATTTAATGTTGAGCTGTGTTGCCCGCCAGGAAGCTCACAGGGAGTTCCTGTAACATATTGATTTGGAAAGAGCATCTCAATTGTTATTTTACTTGGCTGGGAGCTAGACTTGTTTTGCATCTTGTACAGTTTTATCTTTGGAGAAACATATTTTACCTGCAGTAGCAAGCACGATATGAGGTCCACTTCCATAACTTAAATGAATGATCTTCTTCCCACATAGAATGTCAATTTTCCTGGGTTCAATAGTGCTCTGAATATCCCCAGTTCCTAAGCAACCACTGCAGTTAGTCCCAAGACCAAATACCTGTTAAAGAAACAAGCTGAAGTCAGATTTAATTTATATTTTGTTTCATTGTTATCTTCACAAGCTGCCGACTTGCTGCAATACAATCAGTGGGACACCAAGCAATATCTCGCTGAAGTATGAACCTAGTTGGCAGGCTATTCGGAGACATCATAAGCCAGATGCTATTTTCACTCAACAAACACACACAACTTTACAGCAATATCACTGGATTTTGTGGTTTAATTTCTATCAGCGGAAGACTTTTGTTTCACATTTTGGTCTTTATATTAACAAATATGTCATCCCTGTTATGATTAAGTTAAGATGGCAGTAAAGTGTGACAATAGCCATACAAAACTGCCAAGATAAGTTAGAAATAGTTTTACACTTTAGTAAACAACACCTAGAAATATTAAATATACAACATGGAGAACTAGCTAAAACTACTTCTTACATTGAAACTGTTTCAGGGTTAAGCAAAAGATAAAAGCCAGAAGTCCTAGGGACAAAAATCGAGATCTTGTGATCGGCCTCCTCTGACTCCAAGCAGCTGACAGCCCCATTCTCTCGAGGTACTGCACTCTTGTTCACTAAAACTCAGAACGAAAGTGCGTGCATTTTAGTAGTTGTAATGCTCACAGAGAACAAGGCATATAATAATGTATGTTGTTAAAACTCTATAATTGTGCATCCTGGAGAATTAAGAGTTGAAATCTCAAAGCAATAACCTGTGCCTGAACCATAGAGAATCTTGTGACACTTCCGACCTTTAAAGCCTGCCTTAGGACCAATTTAAACTGCTCCTTCAGTCACCTTCTCCCTCCCCGCCACCCCCCCTAACACCTTCTGCTAGGTTCCCTGTCATCTGTGTAAAGCACTTTGAGGCATCCTTCCCTAGTGAAAGGCTATATTATGCCTTTAGGACACTCTGGAGGAATACATTCCACAATGCAAATTGGTCATTCATTCACTGTGGTTGTTTGTGGGTCCAATTGGCTGATACGTTCCGCCACAAAATACATACCGTCACTCCACTTTACAGAATATCCTGTGAAACTCTTTGAGGCACCATATCAAATGCAAGATTAGTATTATTAGAAATAATCAGTCGGGATTGATACTATGCAATGGGCCTGGCATTCCATTGACCAAATGTGCCAAATATTTTTAAGTCAATGGGTGTCACCCCTCACCATGATTAAGAGTCTGAATATTCTACATGTGGAAATTTACCTGGGTCTGGATTGGAATACTCACTCTCTCTTACAGTGGGGCCACCCTAACTCCTCTTACCTCAGGATTACTACTGGTTGTGTGCTTCTCAATTGCCACTTTCAGCCTCTCTGCTGTCACCAGTATTGGGTTAACCCTTTCACCTGTACTGAACAGCAACATCAAAACCATTTTCAAACATAAAATCAGCTACCTCATTCCCCAGAAGAGGGCGGAGGAGGAGAAGGCTGAAGAGAAGGGAGACTTAAAGGAACATTGGCTGGCTAACATCTTCCTTCTCGCAAAAACCCCAGCCCCGCATAACTGTACAATTATGTAGCAAGCAGCAAGCACATAATACTCAGATAAAGACACCTCCTCTTGCTTGCGAGGCAAATGTGCTAACCACTGCGCTACAGGACTCTGCATCTATTGTGTATATTTTCCATTTTTAATATAATTAGATTTTGATACCCGATTGTAGTCTTTGTTCTGCAAGTTTGATATTTTCTGCATGGATATATTTCCCTAATGTTCTCTGGAGTTCACCAGTAACACAACACTTAGTCTAACATCTCCCAATAACTTTCCATGTAAACATAAAACTTTTTTCCCGTAACTCACCATATTAAAGCAGTCATCTTAATGTGCAAGACTAACGGCTAGTACACAATATCAGTACTCCGATCTATTATCTAAGTAACACCAATCTAAACTGAGGCATCTAGAAAATACTAAATTGAGATGGGACCAAAAAGCTAGAAATGCACAGCTTGTCAATTTATAAGGATGAGTAAGTTTAAACAAATGTTTGGTATCTTTGCTACTGTGGCTTAGCAAGAAATTTTATAGAACTTTCCTGTAAAAGATTAAATTCTACTCCCTAACTCCCGCCCCATCTCTAATCTCCCCTTCCTCTTCAAGGTCTTGGAATGAGTTGTTGCTTCTCAGCTTCGCTTCTTCCTCTCCTACCACTCCCTTCTCGAACCCCTCCAATTGGGCTTCCATTCCGCCCACAGCACAGAAACCGCCCTGGTCAAAGTGACAAATGACATTTTGTCCATCTGCGACCAGGGCTCCTTCTGCCTCCTCATCCTCCTTGACCTCTCTGCTGCTTTCAACACCATCGACCACTCTGTCCTCATCCACCACCTCTCCTCTCACCTCAACATCCACGGCGCTGTCCTTGATTGGTTCAGATCACACCTCTCACACCACCTGCACTTCATCTCCTCAAACGGCTTCTCCTCTAACCCCCGCACCGTCTCGTGCGGCATTCCTCAGGGCTCTGTCCGTGGTCCCCTCTTCTTCAACATCTATATGCTCCCTCTTGGTGACATTATCCGCAGACATGGGGTCAACTTTCACATGTATGCGATGACAACTCTACCTCTCTGCCTCCACCCTTGATTCCAGGACCACTGCTGTGCTGGATGAGAGCTAACTTTCTTCAGTTGAACATCATCAAGACCGAGGCTCTCCTGTTTTGCTCCCGTCAGCGCCTCCTCATCTCAGGCACTGACAGCATCACCATCCATGGTTGCACCTTCCACCTTGCTAAGCCAGTCCAGAATCTTGGGGTCTTATTTGACTCTCAACTATCCTTTCTACCCCACATCTGCGCCATGACCCGCTCTGCCTTTACCCACCTCCGCAACATCGCCCGGCTCTGACACTGTCTCACACCGCAGGCCACCGAAACCCTCATACACGCCTTCATTACATCGAGGCTCGACTATGCAAACTTGTTGGCCTCCCCAACTCCTCTCTCCACAGGCTGCAGATCATCCAGAACTCTGGAGCCCATGTCCTCTCGGCGGGCGGGCCTTCTGCCACTCTGCACCCACCGCCTGGAACTCCATCCCGCAGTCCCTCCGTCTCACCTTCAAGACCCACCTCAAGACCCTCCTTTTCAACCGTGCTGTCAATCTCCCTGCTTACCCCCTTGCCCACCCCCACCCCGACCCTCAGTTCGGGTCCATAACACTATCTGTCCAGCGCCTTGGAACGTCCTCCCGACGTGAAAGCCGCTATACAAATGTAATATTGCTGTTGTTAAATAATTGGGGTAGAGTGCAAGGTACGATAGATTGTACATATTATTTGGAAAAAGCAGACTTCATGGGCTGAAAGATCACTTCTTATTTTATTCTTTATGTTCTTGAACGTTACAACATTTACCGTTATACTATTATAACCCCTGTCACATTTTTAAACAATTCAATGTCAATAATCTTGTATTATGTAAAGAAATTACAAAAGGAAAGAGCATTACCTCATAATTTTCTGTAACATACACTGCCTCATTACCAGATGTGCCAAAGATGCACGCTTGCCGAATTGAACTGAGCTCTTGTGGTGGAAGCAGCGCAAACACCGGCCACTTCCCGACATCTACCATGACAAGATTCCTTCAGCTCAGCAAAACACAGAGTGACACACAGGACCTACAAAGAAGCAAAGCAACTTTTATATCAAAGAGAAATGAAAAACTGGTAACTCGATGTTCTGTGCTACAGTATTTGAATGTGATTAGTAAATACAATTCAATAGCTACACCTATTTTTTTCTCCATTGGCTCAATATTACTAATGCTATTAACAAATTTAGATTTCAAACAAACAAAAAGCGATAAGTAACTGAATTCTGACAGTGAGCTTCCTTGAGTAGAGCCCAATAACAGAGCAATATACAACAGATGTATACAATTGCTGCCCGTGTCTTGTTAGAGACTCATTCCACATGCTGAATGGGAAGTCTGCTATTATTAGATAGCACAATGCACAAAATTGGTCTCCTCAGAAGTTTTTCATGCAAACATGCCTTGAAACACTTCACAAAGTGACATTAATCAGAAATATGGTTATGCAGGTAAACAGAGCAGCTCCAGCAACATTCCACCAGCAGTGAGATGAGTAGTCAATTAATCTACAACGTATGAATATTTTGGATAAGTGTGATATAATAAATAATAATAAAATGGGATATTTTGTGGTAAATGTCCTTTATTTGAGTGGAAGGAGTAAAGCTCTATCAATATATTTCCTTTCGCATTCCCAGGTGGAGTTAACTCACTTTAATTTATTTGACCATAGTTGTCCAGTAGCAGTAACATGTCACACATATATGGTTTTGACAATAACCAGGAGACATAAGTCAACAGCAGCATGACGTGTCAGACACTAGTCATGGTGCTCTCCTACCCTTCGCACCAAGATACAATTTTCCTGCTACTTGTCCAGCTAGGATGGTTACAGGGTTAACAGGGTTCACTGAAATGCATTACAATACAGATTCTGTGAAATTTTAACATGCAAACCTTACCAAGCTTGTGCAAAGCACATGCAAAAGTAAAATTTCTATAAAGCTGTGGCTTAATGCTCTACTTCAGTTTAATCTTTTCGCCCACAAAATATAAAGTCAATTCACTTTACAGTTTATTCTGTGGAGCGCTTTGAAGCGTCTCGAAGGGGTGAAAAGGTGCCATATCACATACAAGCATTATTATTATTAATAATATTATTATTATTATCCTTAATGGGGAAGAAACAAAGAGTAGCATTACATGATCTGCAAAACGTGACTTAACTGTGCAGTGACAGCTGATTTTATTAATCAGGTTGCGGTGAACGAGGAATGGCCCTGAGACAATAATATAAAATAGAAGAATGCACTTGTATGTGTGTGTGGGGGGGGGGGGGGGGGGGGGTTGCTCCGCAATTCAAGGTTTTGCATTCGTATGAAATGAGCAAACAGCCAGGCCAATCCCAGCCAGGCCAAGCCCAGCCAGGCCAATCCCAGCCAGGCCAAGCCCAGCCAGGCCAAGCCCAGCCCAGCCAGGCCAAGCCCAGCAAAGCCAGGCCAAGCCCAGCCCAGCCAGGCCAATCCCAGCCAGGCCAAACCAGGCCAAACCCAGCCCAGCCAGGCCAAGCCCAGCCCAGCCAGGCCAATCCCAGCCAGGCCAAGCCCAGCCAGGCCAAGCCCAGCAAGGCCAAGCCAGGCCAAGCCCAGCCCAGCCAGGCTAAGCCCAGCAAGGCCATGCCAGGCCAATCCCAGCCAGGCCAAGCCAAGCCCAGCCAGGCCCAGCCCAGCCAGGCCAAGCCCAGCAAGGCCAAGCCAGGCCCAGCCCAGCCAGGCCAAGCCCAGCAAGGCCCAGCCAGGCCAAGCCCAGCAAGGCCAAGCCAGGCCCAGCCCAGCCAGGCCAAGCCCAGCAAGGCCAAGCCAGGCCAAGCCCAGCCAGGCCAAGCCCAGCCAGGCCAAGCCAGGCCAAGCCCAGCCCAGCCAGGCTAAGCCCAGCAAGGCCATGCCAGGCCAATCCCAGCCAGGCCAAGCCAAGCCCAGCCAGGCCCAGCCCAGCCAGGCCAAGCCCAGCAAGGCCCAGCCAGGCCAAGCCCAGCAAGGCCCAGCCAGGCCAAGCCCAGCAAGGCCAAGCCAGGCCCAGCCCAGCCAGGCCAAGCCCAGCAAGGCCAAGCCAGGCCAAGCCCAGCCCAGCCAATCCCAGCCCGGCCAAGCCCAGCCCGGTCAGGCCCAGGGCTACTCACTGCTGTGCTGTGCTGAGCTCTCCCACACCCTCTCCTGCTGTCCCGGCGGCTCCACCAGCCAAACCCGCTCAATCGAGCTCAGAGCCAGACACCACATACGGGTCACCACAGCTCGGGGACATGCGCGCGTACATCGATTGGTCGGGTCTGCCCAGTCGGACTCACGCGGCGTGAGCGGCCGCCACCGGATTTTACCGCCGCTGTAACCCACCGCAGCCGCAGCGCAGCCGTTATATAAAGCCGCCGCTCTCCCCCAACCCGCGCAGTGCCGCGCGGGCCGCTCCCCTCCCTCCAGTGAGCTCGGTGTCACCCACCACCACTGCCACCACCATCACTGCCACCGCCACTGTCACCATCACTGACACCACCATCACCGCCACCACCATCACCACCACTGCCACCGTCACCACCACTGCCACCACCATCACTGCCACCACCATCACTGCCACCACCACTGTCACCACCATCACCACCACTGCCACCGTCACCACCACTGCCACCACCATCACTGCCACCACCATCACTGCCACCACCACTGTCACCACCATCACCACCACTGCCACCGTCACCACCACTGCCACCACCATCACTGCCACCACCATCACTGCCACCACCACTGTCACCACCATCACCACCACTGCCACCATCACCGTCACTGCCACCGCCACCACCATCACCACCACTGCCACCATCACTGTCACCGTCACCACCACTGCCGCCATCACCACCACTGCCACCGTCACCATCACTGCCACCGTCACCACCACTGCCACTGTCACCATCACTGCCACCATCGCCATCACCACCACTGTCACCACCACTGCCACCATCACTGTCACCGTCACCACCACTGCCGCCATCACCACCACTGTCACTGCCACTGTCACCATCACTGCCACCGTCACCACCACTGCCACCGTCACCACCACTGCCACCATCACTGTCACTGCCACCGTCACCACCACTGCCACTATCACTGCCACCATCACCACCGCTGCCACCATCGCCATCACCACCGTGTTATCCGCAGCCATTGTGCAAAACCTTTCACCAGATGTACTGTAAAGTGTCATTATTTGAATGTTTTTAGGTGAACCCGGCAGCCGGTTTGTCGCATAGCAGTGTCCTGAAAACACAGCCGTGGGAAAGAGTGACCCACTTTTTCTGGCGGATTGTCGGCCTGGGTGAGGGGCAGTGGGATGTTTAGCACTCACCCGAAGCGGAAGACAGGATCTCGGTTTGGCATCTCACCCGAAGGACAGCATTTCCAACCACGCTGGGGGCCCCCATCACTGCATTGCAGTGCAGAGTGTCAGCCTAGACCTGTGGTGGCCAATCCATGGCCGGAAGTGGCCTGTGGGGCCGTCAAGAAGAAAATCCCCCCCCCACCCCCAAACATTCTGTCACAATTACCCTGTTTTTGCAATCCTTAGTAACATGTAAATAATATATATATATACATTATTTAAGGGAAATAGGGAGACCTGTCCCTTTAATTAGATTCTGGTTAAGAAAATGCTTGCAAAACATTTAGTTGCAGAAGTTCTTTGCAAAAGACTTAGCAAACAGCATACACGAGGTGCCCAAGTTGCAACAACATCTGGGCTCAAGGTTGCTTCATTGACAGGCAATTAGCAAACAGCCTGGAAAGTCACATGGACGCTCACACGGAAAAAATCCCTCGCATTCGTATCATACGGTGGGCAGAGCCACGCGCCTATCAAAAGCAATGCTCGGTTCGCCTCGTGGTCGCTTTCTAATGGTCGTCATCCGGTACGTACTGACGTGTACAGGATTACTGTAACGTCAGGTTGGTTTAAAAAACTTTATACTAGTGTAGTATTGTGCTGCTAGTTGTTATAGTTATGTGTGTTAGTTATATTTAATCCCATTGTTGTGAAGCCACCTTCAATTCCCTGGCTCCACTGAAATACCAGGGTTGTTTCCAACTCCACTCCCCACCCACTCCCCCTGCTACAGAGAGTGTGGGCAAGCAGACTAAGCCCACCCGCCAATGCTGGGGCAGATAGGGTGCCACATGAAGCAGGCTAGTGCCCATTGAGTGAAGGGAGCAGTCAGATCAATAGGGATTGAGGAGGTTACAGATGTAGGGTTGGTCAAGTCTGGAGGAATTTTCAGGTGAAAACGAGGATCTTGAACTCGATCCGCTGGGGGATGGGGAGCCAGTGGAGAGTTAGGAATTATAGTTAGGCCAGTGGTGGATTAAATAGCGTAAGTCAGGAAATATTCAGTCAAGAAAATTTATTTTGTTGGGTGATCATAAAGGTTGACCACCACTGAGCTATAAGAATAAAGTATAAGGATAAAGAGGTCATGTTGAATCTGTATAAAACAATGGTCAGTGCACAACTGGAATACTGTGCAGTTTTGGGCTCCTCACTATATGAAAGATGTCAAGTTGCTGGAGATGGGACAGAGAAGATTCACCAGGATGTTGCCTGAAATGAGGAAATGCAGTTATAGGGTTACAAGAAAAGACTTGATAAATAGTTTTTTTTCTTTGGAGCTCAGAAAGCTGAGTGTGCAGATGACAAAGTGCTTGAGAGAGCTGAATGAGAGCTTGAGTTGGATGTGGGGAGAGCTGAGGAAGATGAGATATACACAGCATGCATATCAGATAATGCAGATAGATGATGTAACTACCCAAAGCATCACTTCAAGAGTCCCTGAAATCAGTGACTCAGTAGTTCTCAGTGTCACTAAGATCATTCTTCTTGTGGAATTACTTTCTGGAACGCTGACAACATCTGTGATTCAGGCAGAATCCAAGGGCAGCTTCATGGTGAGTTAATCATTGTTGGCATTGATCTGTAGTCCTTTGCCATTCCCCACCCTCCAGAGCAGTGTTTGTGAACTTGGATTTGATACTGTCTGCACTTACTGCCTACCATTAACTAAGAAACCCAGGTCTTCCTCTACGGTGACCATCCTGGCTGCACAGTGTATTCTTGTGTGAAACAACAACAAGATTACATTTGTATAGTGCCTCTCACGTCAGGAGGACGTCCCAAGGTGCTGGACAGAGTACAGCATTTCAGACCTGAGCTGGGGTTGAGGGGGTAATGGATGGGAAGGGGTGTGGCCGATGGCATGGTCGAAGAGGAGGGTCTTGAGGCGGGACTTGAAGGAAGCTAGGAGGGGACGAGGCGGAGTGACTGGGGGATGGAATTCCAGAGATTGGGGGCAGAGTGAAACAGATTTAACTGATTTAACTCTCTCTTCCATGATGCCCACAAAGTATCCGAATATCTTCTCAACTTGCTATCTAAATTAACAGTTTGACAAGGGATTTGAAACCCAGTGTAAGAAACTGACATCAGGGGAAGGAAAAATTATAGAAAAAATATAAACAGAAATTAATGTTTCAAAAATAGAAACTAAATAGAAATTTTCTTATTATTTGTAAGTACCAAATTAGCTCAAATTTGGAACATACAGTTGGGGCAAAGGGAAAGAAGAGTTCCCACCCCCTCTCTGAACTGGATTTAGAATTGGATTCATCAATCTGACTTGGGGTGAGCAGGAAGCAGATTCTTACAGACCAAAAAAAATACAAGAGTAGCCTTGATGTTGTTACCATTCGTCAAATGTGCAATCTAGCTTCAAGAGGAAGTATTTCTTATATTATTACTTTACTATACTTTGTCTTCCAACATCAAAAATTATGAATAAACTTGCTTTGACTTTCTGAGTCATTAAGGCATTTTATTTAAGAAAAATGTAAAAGTGCAAACGTTTTCAGCTTATATGTTTTTTTCTTATTTCAAGTATTCTAATCAATGACTTTATCATCAATATTTGACATGCTACAATATATTTACTGCATTTTATCAAGTGTAACAGTATTATTCATTTATAAAATGCATGACTCAAATTAAAAGGAATTATTCAAATCAAATAGTTGGTCACAATTTACCACCGAATAGCTCAGTGTTAAAGAAAGAACTTACAAATTGTATCGTACCTTACGCGTTAAAATAACTTAGTCTGTCAAAACTCACCAATCTGCAATCACACATGAAGAATGGTCAATTGGGCAACGAATCAGCAGGCCTACCAGGGTCCACAAAACTGGGGCTATTTGTTTTGTTCTTATGGGCAACTGAAGGCATTTGAGCACTATATGCATCATACAACAGCATTAACCAATGCTTTTTTTTAGGATAATTTTAACGTCCTTGTCTCAACCATTCTTCCTGGCAACCTATTCCAATCGTTTAATTACTCTCTGGATAAAGAAAAACTTCCTGGTATCTATCTTGAAGTTGCCCTTCGCAATTGAGCTGTTTAGCTATGATCTGCTTTGCATAGAATGGGGAAAAACAGGATTTCAACACACCCTTTAATTCTTTTTCTGGGCCTTTGTTGGCTACCTTCGCGCTTCTGGTTGTTACTGTGCCAATCTCATGTTCCTCTTTCCTTCAATAAGTTATTCTGTCCTGTTTGTCTGGTATGAGAGCATTCATTCCACTTGGTGGCACTGTAATCCACAATCACTTGAAGAATCAACAAATTACTCAATGCTTAGCACATCATTTTGTTCCTTTTTCCTGATTCCAACTACTATACAGGTAGTTATTGTCTATTGCTTATGCAACCACCATTTTTAATATTTCACAAACTGAATGTATTTTTATTTTAGAAAATTGCATATTAATTTTGGAGCTTATCCCACGATCACAAGATTAGCTTGAATGAAGAAGGCTCCATGGTCCATTTGATCTCATCGTGAAGTCCTGTAGCTCAGTGGTTACAGCACTCGCCTCACAAGCGAGAGACCTGGGTTCTATTCCCGGCAGGGCAAAATGTTGGGCATATTTCCTCACTCCACATGCCTCTGTTTACCTAGCAGTAAGTAGGAACCCAGTTGATAGTCGATTGGCGGATCGCTTTTCCTGGGATAATAATCCTTCAAAAAACAATTTGGTCACTCATTCCACGCCTGTTTGTGGGACACTGCTGTGCGCAATTGGCTGCCTTGTTTAGCCAACAAATATACAGTCAATTCACTTTACAGTATATTCTGTGAAGCGCTTTGAGACGTCCAGAAGACGTGAAAAGCACTATATCAAATGCAAGGATTATTATCTTTCTAGAATGCACACCCACAGCATATGCTCGTCACAGAAGTCAATTGCTTTTTAAAAGCCGTTGCTTCAACCAACATTCCTTGAAATCTGTTCTAACCACTAATAACCTCTGGGTAAAGAAAAACGTCATCTGTCTGACATTGCCCTTTGCAAAAGGCTAAACCTCTCATGTTAGACTAATTGAAATATGATTCAAATTTCAATCAATCTAACATTAATCCAGGACCTTACATTTGTACAGTATTCTGATAGCAGATTAATAGAATTTATATATTTCACCGTGTTCTCCATGCTAATTGTGATTTTTGAGAGCTATCAAAGTTTAAAAAAAACAAGAACGAAACAGCCAACCATGTTGCTCTCTTGTCTGCAAGATTTCAGAAATGACAATTAATCGCTTTGTAAATGCCACAAATTAGATGGCTTTCAGTATTCTGAAATGGATGTTGCAATTAATGCTTCAAGTTCCATTTGCTATTCTGGGAAATTAGACATAATTTTATTTTAAAATGATATTGTAATTCTTAAGTGTTCTGAAACATTTTTGCAACCCGTCGTAAGTATCAAAATCCAAGATTGAAGACCTAGAATGGACTTTGCTATTTGATATTATCTGACAATTTCTTTAAAATAAAACTATGTCATATTTTCTATTTGTGGCTGTTATTGATAGTGGTACTTTACCGGAGAATAGAACACTTTCCATTATATTAGTCATACTATGACTCACTTGTGTTCTGCAGGAGATTCATTCACAGAAATGACAATGAGTCAGTGCAGCAGCAATTCAGCTACTCTACTGCAATGCCTTTTTAAAATATTCTCCCCCTCACTGTTATGTCCTAGCAAAATGTACTATTTTATTTGTCGCGTAAAATATTTGTATATTATTGCAGTAAACTGTACAATAAAACTAACAAGTGAAATTAAGATTCCAATAATCAATGATTTTAAATAACAGTATTTCTGTCCTACCTTGTTAACAGTAGAAGGTAAGACATTACAATATTAATCCTGTCATAAAACTAAATTTTTACCGAATTGGTAATTATCATATCAAATCTGTTATGAAATGATTAATTAAGTTGCTAATTATCAACTAATTTCAGTTATGAACACCTCCTAGAACTTTCATAGCATCATGGAATCATAGAATTTTTTGCACAGAAGCCCTTTGGCACATCATTTCTTTGCTGTCTCATAACAGATACCTTTAATATTTGTTCTACTCAGAGGTTTGTCCAATTCTCTTTTAAAAGCTATTATAGTTTCTGCTTGAAACACCAGTTTTGGTGAAGCATTCCACATCCTAATAATTGTGTGTATTTGCTTCCTAATTTCTTTCTTTTCTCCTTACATTCCCAGCCTCTAGTTACTGATTGGAAATAGGTTTTTCTTGTTTATCAAAATGGCTCATGTTTTAATACCTCTTATCAGGTCTCCTTTCAACCTTTTCAGTTCTAGTTAAAACAGCGCCAGTTTCCCCAGTCTCTCCTCGTAAGTAAAGTCTTTCATCTCTGCTATCATCCTACAATGGCCCAATCAATTGTTTGTACAGGTTTAGCAATGATTCTTTGTTTACGAACTCCCTATCTCTGTTTATCCCTGTTTATATAACCTTGGTTCACATTAGTTTTTTTAAAAAAACTGTCATGCCAATCCTCTTCCAATGATGTGTGCACGTTAACCCCGGTTCTCTCTGCTTTTACACTCCGGCTATATAGTTTCTCTCGGGTGTCCTGGTCAATAATCCCCCAGATAAAATTGATCATTTACTAATGTTACTTCATGGCTGCTTCCGAGACTTCCCTGTGGGCCCAGCGGCTGCTTGTGTTTGCTGACAGAAATACAATCGAGGTACAGCCGCCTCATCGACAGAAAACCTCGCGACCTGCCGTGAGATATTTTGACACACTCGCGGGTTGGGGAGATTGGAGGGTTGGGGCGGGCGGGTGGGTGGGTGGGGGCGGAAGATGACCATTTTGGTTTGTTGCCGCGGAAACCCAATCTGCTGAGGGCCAGAATCCATTACTGATAATAATAATAATAATAATAATCCTTGCATTTGATATAGCGCTTTTCACGTCTTTTGATGGGACAAGTAATAGGGAGGGAGGGAGGGAGGGGGTGGGGAGGGGAACACAACACAGTCTCCCCCCCCCCCCCCCAAAAAAAAAGGGTCTAATAAGCCGTTTGGGATGAGTTACAAACGGAACAGGCGGCAAATCACCGACCAACCGACCATCCACACACCCACGCACGTCCCTCCTCCCCTCCAGGCGGCCATGTTGACGGCTCTCGGTGTGTGTCGCTCCACGTGACTGGCTCGTGCTTGTTTTCCCCCCCTCCTTCCTCCCCTCCCCCCCCCCCCCCCGAGGCGCTGCGCGCGCAGCTCACTCCCTGCTGCTCAGCCGCCGCTCGTGCGTGTGGCCGCGGGCCCGAAGATGGCGGCGTTGGGGAGGACCGGACCCGGGCTCAGACCGGCCGCCGCCCGGCACCGCCGCCGGAGATGAGGCAGCCCCCGGCAGGAGCGCCGCCCGCCCGCCCATCACGCTGCTCACTTGTGCGGGGTGTGAACTAAACTCGGGACCCCACATCCCCCCCCACCCCCGGCCCGGCCCGGCCCCCCCTTCCCCCACCCCGTGTGTTTCCCGGGTAAGTGAAGAACGAGAGGGTCTGAGAGTGTCACTGCAGCGGCGGGAGAGAGCCGCGGGGCTGGGGGGGGGCAGGGAGAAATCCGGGGGGGGGCAGGAGGAAGACCCGGTGGGGGGGTTGGGGACAGACCCGGTGGGGGGGGTCGGGGACAGACCCGGTGGGGGGGGTCGGGGGGAGACGCGGTGGGGGGGCAGGGGGAGAGACCCGGGGGGTCGGGGGAGACCCGGGGGTTAGGGGGAGACCCGAGGGGGCAGGAGGGAGACCCGGGGAGAGACCCGGGGGGGTCGGGGAGACCCGGGGGTTAGGGGGAGACCCGGGGGGGCAGGAGGGAGACCCGGGGAGAGACCCGGGGGGGTCGGGGGAGACCCGGGGGGGCGGGGGAGACCCGGGGTTAGGGGGAGACCCGGGGGTTAGGGGGAGACCCGGGGGTTAGGGGGAGACCCGGGGGGGCAGGAGGGAGACCCGGGGAGAGACCCGGGGGGGCAGGAGGGAGACCCGGGGGGGCAGGAGGGAGACCCGGGGAGAGACCCGGGGGGGTCGGGGGAGACCTGAGGCAGAGAGTAAGGGTGGAATGGGGAGCAGAGACCAAGGATCGCACCTGTCGCGACAGGGAGTGAGGATGGACTCAGTGAGGCGACACTGCGATGGATAGGAATGGTGGGGAACCAGGAGGGGGATTGTAGGCTGTGGTCCACCCGTGGACGAGGACACCCGGAGGGGAGGGGAGGGGGGGGGAGGAAAGAGTGATGAGTGGGGATGAGGGAAGAGACGGTGGAGAGGGGGGGAGGGAAGAGGTGCGGAGAGAGAATAGGGGGACCTTGGGGAAGGAGGGCTTGAGTGAAGGGGGGGGGGGGGGTTTAAAAAAAGAGGGGAATGAACGGTGAGGAAGTTTGGCGGTGAAGGAGTTCTCGTTGGGGATGGAGAAAGCAATGGTACAGTGAGGGTCAGAAGCTGCACATAGAGAGGTCAAGACGCCCCGATGGAGGAGTGGGTGACGGGGAAAGTCAGGCAGCACACACTGAAGGGAATGAGTGAATGCATGAGGTTTAATAATAATGATAATAATAATAATAAATGAGTGAAATGCAGACCGATGGAGTAAATCAAAGAGATGCGTTTTAAGGGCAGAGTAAAACTGTGTTACTTCTGCGTTACTACCCACTTGCACGTGCAGTTTTTGTGAAGTTTGCTTGTTTATTTTTTGTGTGTGACAGTCTTGCAATTGTTTTGGATATTGGTCTAGTGCAACCAAGTTGTGTATCTGTGTCTTTGTTTTATGAACTGTTTAGTTTTGTAAACATTTCGTCAATGTGTTACGAAGGCATACACTTGTTGTTTAAAAAAAAGTGAATATTCAACAAGAACAAATTACATTTGTGTACAAACTGCAAAGCCATTTCAGTCATATAACTGGATATTAAGGGTGAAAAGCATCTTCTCCAAAAAAGGGACAACGTGTCTGTCTTATGTTATATGTTGGCACTTTTTTTTAACGATAATGTAATTCTCTGAAGAAGGACTGATGCCTGTTTTGCGTAGTTGTGAACTAGTTAATGTAACTTGCAAAAAGATATCCTGGTTTCTGCTAAAGATGAAAATTATAACTGGCTTCTTTATCTGCTTTCAAACTGAATGCAACACTAGACCCTGAAGCAATTAGTATGCACGTTTTTCAAATCTAATGGGGCATAGTTTCCATAAAAATGAAATTGTTTTCTTTGTTGCTGGTGGCATTCAAATTCAGAAAAAAAGCCAGTTTCAGAGAATCAATCACTCTAGTTAAACTCCAAATGTGTTAATCCTTTCTTGATGTACATGAAGGGCGACTTTATCGACACATGAAGTGAGTTGCAAGGTGCTGTGACGAGGTAGACATTTTGCAGTCCTTTAATCCCCATCAGTGTGGGTGGTGGGCCATTTGTCCTTATCCTACTCACTCCATGTTTTTACTTTGCTCAGCCCTTCTCATTTAAGCATACAATTAATGAACAAATAAATATCCGGTATGACACGAGCTATCTACAGTTAAAATAAGTGATTCTTATTTTATCTTGGTGCAGATTTCATTTGTGCACTATAGTGGTGTCACTTTCTCACTCAAAAATCAAGTCTGTATATTTCTCTGTTGACAATTATCTAATAAGTGCTGCTGTATAATGTATTCTTATGTATCTCAAGTTTTCCATTGTTGATTGTAAAACCTCCAAATAAAACATTTTAAAAAATGAAAACAAAATTGTCATTGCAAGAAAAAATTGTCATTGCTTTTTTGGTTCCTCTTTCCTTATAATGAGACAATATATCTTTTAAAAGGGAAAGCTTCAGAGTATTGTAGTTAAATACCTTTCACCAATGACGTAGTGTTACTAGGTTCTTTGAATATGCCAAGTATTTTTAAAAGCTTGTGATTTACACAATAAAAGAAAATATTGACACTATTATTGTCACATTTTCTGAAGGTGATTTTGTCAGGAGATGCAGTATTTCATTTTTAGATTCCTGGAGTAATGTGCTGCTGCGTAATTTTGTTTTTCATGATCGGTATTTGAGATCTTTTTTATGATCTGTGTTTACCAAACCTTTATGATAGCTTAAATTCTAGATTTTTGGTTGAACAATGTTGTATATACTGTAAACAAACACAATGTTTTGATTTATTTTGAATACTAAGTTACAGCTTAAATGATGCACTTATAAAATAGGTTTCTATCAATATTGGAAGAAACAGAAATATTCTGCACAGTCATGTCATTCACCTTGTCATGGCAACTGCTACCTGTTTTTCCCAATTGTCTTTTTTCTAAAATTCATCCTACGATACAGCTCTCTCTCCATATTCTGTTATGATTTTACTGCTTAGGTACTTATCCAGTTCTCTTTTGAACAATTTATTGATCTGGCCTCTAGCTAAATTAATTCCAAACCTATTAGCCCAGAAATGTTTTATTTTGTTGATTCACAACCTTGAGACTACCCATTTGTCTCCAAATTTTCCCCAGCTAAAGGAAATAGTTTCTCCCTAGCTACTCTGTCATGCCCATTTAGGATCTTAAACATTTCAGTCTCCACTTCTCTCATGGAAAAAGTCCCAAGTTATAGCCAATTTATGAATTTTTATCTGTGCTGCAAATTCTCCATCCCTATGATTTCCATCTGCAATGTGGAACACAAAGCTGAACACAATATTCTAACTGCAGTTTAACCAATGTCCTATATAATTACTTCATTACTTTTGTATTCAATACCCTGTTTTATAAATCCCTGAACCCTATTTGCCTTCTTGATAGTTTTCTGAACCTACTCTCCTATCTTAAGGGATTTATGTATCAGGTTCTAACTCCACTCTCTAATCTTTTTCCTCATGTACAGTATTTATTTTTATGTTAAACTGCTTCTGCCACTTCTCTGACCATTTCTCTAGTCTATCAGTGTCCTAATTTCTTAGTGAAGTCCAAAACAATTCTCAAAATTTCCCACACCACCCAATGTAGTACTATGAACAGTATTTAAACGGACTTTGGCATGAAAAATCTGGGGGATGGGAGACAAAATGTAAAGTGTTGAACAGATTAATCCACAAAATGTAAAAGCATCACTTGACAGTACAGCAGCAGTTAAAGGTTTTTATTGTTTATTCCCAACTAGTAGCTTGTGTGCTGCATCCCAAAGATGAATATTATTTATTTTTAAAAAATCTCTTAATCTTTCCTTAATACAGTACTGGGAACCTACATCACAAACTGAAATTTCTTGAGGCTTTGTGTGATGTGGTCCTTCATTGATATCACTGAAAATAACAGCAACAAAATTACATTTGTAAAGGCGCCTTTCACGTCAGGAGGACGTCCCAAGGCGCTGAACACTCAGGGATCAGGATCCAAGCGTGGGGGGAAGGGTTGGGATGATGGAGGGTGTAAGTAAAATGTAAGTCCTTTAAAAGCAATAACAAATTCATACCATGAAGGTAAGAAAATTTGCTCATGGGATATGATCTGCATTAATTTGCGATCCTTGCATTACATTTCTTTTGAAACTTTTAAATTTTATCATTGAATCATACCTCCACAAGATGTGAGGTATTTTGTCATCACTGGAGTCTTAGTTCACCTATGATTTGTTAAAGGGCACATATACATACACTCTAATTCCATGCACAGCTGGATGTCTTGAAACATGCGGAAATCTCTCACCATGCTGAAGAGTATCCAAACCAAACTGTAGAGTTCCATGCATTCCCACCTGCACATGTTAATCACTCCAAGGGTACAGGGCTCATAAGTTATCACGAGTTATCTGGAGTGGCGAGTTAGGCATATGCATAAATACATAAATAAATGTGGCTGGGATGTGGAAAGCATTGTGACTTAAGTGATAGTGACAAGTTAAGCCAGGGTCGAGTTATCAGGTGTTTATTGTATTCAGTTTCAATTCAAAATCAGAATGTAAAATATTATTCAAACTGTTTACATCCTTAATCTCTTACTGGAGTGAACTCATCTACAATAGAATATAGTGTTCCATTAACAAGGAAGTAAATTCCATTGAGTTGTATAATTCCAAATCTTATAATCCGTGCACTAAACGGCATCTCTCAATTTGCCTTGTATAAAATAATTGGAACTACCATTAATGTTTGGAACTACCATTTGAGGTTAGTCTAGAAATAAGAGACATTTATTATTTTATTCCAATATGACATTTTAGGTTTTTTTTAAACTCGTAACTAAATGAATGACGTGTGCAGCTACTTATTCGTGATATATTCACAAAAGTTCCATTTAAGCATACAGTATCTAGTAAAATTATATAATTAAAACCTTAATATTTATCTGTAATATACAATACAAATTTACATTTATATGGCGCCTTTCACATCACCAGGATGTGCCAACATCCAAATACGAAGAGATGTTGTCATTGCACTCAATTTTGTCAAAAGGTTCATGAATTTGGACTTATTTTGGACAATTGTAATATCTGTACAAAGCTTTGCAATTTAA